TCAGGGGCCTCCTCTGACTACAGTGTAGATGGATAGGCCTCTTAGACCATCAGTCTCAGGGGCCTCTTCTGACTATTGAGGATAGAGGGGCCTCCTCTGACTAGTGAGGGTAGGGGGCCTCGGCTAGATCGCCAGTGTCAGGGGCCTATTCTGACTAGTGTGGATGGAGGGGCCTCCCAGACCACCAGTCTCAGACGTCTGACTAGTGTGGATAGAGGGGCCTCCCAGACCGCCAGTGTCAGGGGCCTCCCCAGACCAGTGTGTATATTAGGGCCTCCTCAGATCCACTAGGGCCTCTCAGGCCATCAGTCTCAGGGGCTTCGACTGACAAGATGAACAGAGGGCCTCGTTGGATCCATCACGGCCCCTTGGAGTCCGTGCGTGGGGATTCGTGGAGCTTATTTTTACCGAGTTTGTTTACTCTGGAAGGTGACGACGTCCTCTCAAATCGAGACGAGGGGCCTCGAGTAAAAAGTGGGTGGGCCAAAACACATGGTTGGCCCCCCCACCTCGAAAAGTGGGTGGGCACTTGCCCACCTGGCCCCCCCTGTTCCTACGCCTATGCCGGACCGTCTTCCCCGATATACCTAATTAAATAGGTGTACGCCGCCGCTGTGGAAGGCAAGACCGGCAGCGCCGGTCTCTACATTCTTTTGAGTCTTGAGGGCACCCACACCAGCAATCGAGGGTTCTGCCGACATTTCAGAGCCCCACGGTGGCTTAGAATCCATACCGACTTATGTAGGCTCATCGACCTCAGAGGGTTCGGCACTGCGGTCTCTGAGGACCCCTAAACTCTATACAAGTCCTTGTGGGCCCCAATATATATATATATATATATATATATATATATATATATATATATATATATATATATATATATATATATATATATATATATATATATATATATTTTCTTTTAGACAAAGACCATTAAACGTAATAGCACTTTCACATTTCGAAAGCTTTGTTTGTGTTTTTATGATCTTATTGACTATTTTCTTGCTGTTTTCGTCAATACGATGTATCAGATCGGCAAAGTTCATGTAAAAATATTCGTTAAAGTTCGACGCGTTTCGAATGTATTATACATTCATTTTCAAGTACACTGTGAGACACTCGTTCAAATAATGCGTACATGGACACGTTTGAAAAACAATATACAGGTCACGAGTAAAATCATAAATAACACTTTCAGTTTCAGCGCGCTATACTACAACAGTAAATATGATCACGTCACACATAGCGCTAGTCGGGTTGGGTAGCTTGTGTTGGTGTTGTTCTGCGTGTTTGTGGGTGTGATGTGTGCTGCATTGTACCCCAGAGAGCCAGTTTTTCTAGGCGTGCGTTTTTCTGTTCATTGATGCTTGGTGTGTGGTCTCTGATGTGTATGGCCTCTGTGATCTCTACGCGTCTGGGGTCACGGTTGGAGTGGATGATCGACGTGTTTTCTACCAGGTGTTCTCTTGTCAGTCTAATGTTGTGTTTCTCCAGCATGTGTGTCTTGATTGCTCCCTCCTGTTTGTGCATGGTCAGACGACGAGACAAAGTGGTGCATGTGTATCCAACGTAGCTGATGTTCTGAAGCCTGCAATCTTCAGAGGGACAGTCAAATTGGTACACTACGTTGGTACGCATGAGCCGCTTAGTCTCAATCGGGTTGTTTTTCATGACCAGATGTTTCGTCTTTGTGCTCTGATAGTAAATGTGGAGCATGAGTTTGTCAGACTTGTCCTTGCATTCTACGTTTTTCGTAATGATGTGTTTAAGTATCCGCTCGTCTTTCTCATATTCTGTGTTCATGAAGTTGCGGTAATATAGGTGGTGTGATGTGCCCTGCAACTCCTGCATGTTTGTGTCGTTGTATTTTGTGTCAAGTTGTCGTTGGATTTCTGAGTCTATGTCTCCATTGCTGTAACCATTGTTAACTAGGAGCTGTTTGAGGCGCATAAACTCTTCGTGCATGCTCTTGTTGGTGGAGCAAGTACGGATTGCCCTTTTGACAAATGCTCGGATCACACTGGTCTTGTACCTACTCGGGCATTCGCTGTTAGCGTTAAGTGTTTGGCCTGTGTTGGTGGGTTTGCGGTACACACTTGTGTGATACTGGTTTGCACCTCTTTCTACTAGCACGTCAAGGAAGGGCAAAACATCGTCGCGACTTAATTCGTAAGTGAAGGTCAGTACGGAGTTCGATTCGAATTCGTTCACAAGTTTCAGCAAATGCTCACGGTCGTTTACATCCACAAAACAGTCGTCTACATATCGCACGTAAGTGCTCGGGGCGATGTCGGGGTCGCTGAGGACATGATTTTCGACGTGCGCCATGTAAAAGTTGGCAAAGAGGGGTCCCAAGGGTGACCCCATGGCCACGCCTTCCTTTTGGACATACAGTTGTCCATCTGGTCCCCTGAATGGTGCATCTTTAGTACATGCTTTGAGGAGTCTTTCAAGGATATTTCTAGACAAGTTTAGAGCAGGAAGGCCATTGCTACGTTTCTCATACACTTCATCTAAGATAATATCGATCGTTTCGTTGATTGGAACATTCGTGAACAAAGATTCGACGTCGATGGATGCAAGAATCCCACCTGCCTCTGGCAGGTGGAATCCCACCTGCCTCTGGCTGGCAGGTGGGATTCTTGCATCCATCGACGTCGAATCTTTGTTCACGAATGTTCCAATCAACGAAACGATCGATATTATCTTAGATGAAGTGTATGAGAAACGTAGCAATGGCCTTCCTGCTCTAAACTTGTCTAGAAATATCCTTGAAAGACTCCTCAAAGCATGTACTAAAGATGCACCATTCAGGGGACCAGATGGACAACTGTATGTCCAAAAGGAAGGCGTGGCCATGGGGTCACCCTTGGGACCCCTCTTTGCCAACTTTTACATGGCGCACGTCGAAAATCATGTCCTCAGCGACCCCGACATCGCCCCGAGCACTTACGTGCGATATGTAGACGACTGTTTTGTGGATGTAAACGACCGTGAGCATTTGCTGAAACTTGTGAACGAATTCGAATCGAACTCCGTACTGACCTTCACTTACGAATTAAGTCGCGACGATGTTTTGCCCTTCCTTGACGTGCTAGTAGAAAGAGGTGCAAACCAGTATCACACAAGTGTGTACCGCAAACCCACCAACACAGGCCAAACACTTAACGCTAACAGCGAATGCCCGAGTAGGTACAAGACCAGTGTGATCCGAGCATTTGTCAAAAGGGCAATCCGTACTTGCTCCACCAACAAGAGCATGCACGAAGAGTTTATGCGCCTCAAACAGCTCCTAGTTAACAATGGTTACAGCAATGGAGACATAGACTCAGAAATCCAACGACAACTTGACACAAAATACAACGACACAAACATGCAGGAGTTGCAGGGCACATCACACCACCTATATTACCGCAACTTCATGAACACAGAATATGAGAAAGACGAGCGGATACTTAAACACATCATTACGAAAAACGTAGAATGCAAGGACAAGTCTGACAAACTCATGCTCCACATTTACTATCAGAGCACAAAGACGAAACATCTGGTCATGAAAAACAACCCGATTGAGACTAAGCGGCTCATGCGTACCAACGTAGTGTACCAATTTGACTGTCCCTCTGAAGATTGCAGGCTTCAGAACATCAGCTACGTTGGATACACATGCACCACTTTGTCTCGTCGTCTGACCATGCACAAACAGGAGGGAGCAATCAAGACACACATGCTGGAGAAACACAACATTAGACTGACAAGAGAACACCTGGTAGAAAACACGTCGATCATCCACTCCAACCGTGACCCCAGACGCGTAGAGATCACAGAGGCCATACACATCAGAGACCACACACCAAGCATCAATGAACAGAAAAACGCACGCCTAGAAAAACTGGCTCTCTGGGGTACAATGCAGCACACATCACACCCACAAACACGCAGAACAACACCAACACAAGCTACCCAACCCGACTAGCGCTATGTGTGACGTGATCATATTTACTGTTGTAGTATAGCGCGCTGAAACTGAAAGTGTTATTTATGATTTTACTCGTGACCTGTATATTGTTTTTCAAACGTGTCCATGTACGCATTATTTGAACGAGTGTCTCACAGTGTACTTGAAAATGAATGTATAATACATTCGAAACGCGTCGAACTTTAACGAATATTTTTACATGAACTTTGCCGATCTGATACATCGTATTGACGAAAACAGCAAGAAAATAGTCAATAAGATCATAAAAACACAAACAAAGCTTTCGAAATGTGAAAGTGCTATTACGTTTAATGGTCTTTGTCTAAAAGAAGATTTATTGCCGAAGTTTACAAATATATATATATATATATATATATATATATATATATATATATATATATATATATATATATATATATATATATATATATATATTGTTGAGGAGGAAATGTGAGCAATATGTGCGCGAGTGCTGTCCACGCGCTAAAATAATTTCGAGTGAAAAATAAAGGAGAGCAGTTGTGAGAGACAACAGGAGGACAATATGTAGTGTTTTTTACTTTAAGCATTTAAGTTAATTTGAAGCACAGTATTGTCAAACATTAAGTATTTAAGTTAAAATAAACACAACGCGAGGAGAATTATCACGGTAACATCTGGTGCATGTGACCACGGATTTAAGAATGAACGAGCCGAAGTTAAGAAGAAGGCGGAACGCTTACAAAGCCCGAGCTGCTAAGCTGAAGAGGGAAATTGAAGAGCTTTTGAGCAATGATGGAGAAAGAAGTGTCATCGAGCACTCAAACTCAAAGAGTCTCAAAGAGTGTCACTCTTGGCACTCAAAGAGTGGCACTCAAAGAGTGTCATCGAGAAGTGTCATAAATGTGATCAACTCAAGGAACAGCTGAAGACGATCAGGGAGGTCAGTGAGAACATTTGCGACATATTAGAGACGGACCAAGAAGCGGAGACTTTCATGGAGGATACGTACCAATTTACTGACGCCTGTGAAGACCTCATCATGACAGTCTCCAGGAAAAAGACCGAAAAGGATAAAGAACAGACAAAACAGGATGTGGAGGTCTCCGTTAAGGGCATCAAGCAACCCGAACTACCAGTGTTCGAGGGAGTCATCGCCAAGTTCGAAGACTGGGAGGTGGTTTTTGACGCGTTCATTGGAACCTCAAGGATTGATCCAAAGTTGAAGATGCTCTACCTAAAGAACAGCCTCTCTGGCGAAGCGTTGAAGCTCGTAGAGGGCTACAAACCATCTGAGATGGGCTATGCAAAGGCAAGAGAGGCCCTGACAGACAAGTACGGCGGAAAAACGAGACGGATCCGACATGGCCTCAATGACATTCGGCAGTTCTCCAACATCGCCGAGGGAGACACCAGGCGCCTGGAGCAGTATGCCGATAAAGTGAGCTGCCTTATCACTTTATTGAAGGAGAGTGGCTCAGTCGACGACTTATCAGATGTGTCGGCATACTACATCTTGGTGGCCGAAAAACTGCACCATTCGTACATAAAGAATTACCAAAGATGGCTGACAACCGCAGGCCAGGAAGACAACTTCGGTAACTTCGCCGAATGGCTATCAGAGGAGGCACGATGCGAGAAGAAAGCGAAGGAGATGGCGAGGACCGGAGACGAAACAAAACCAGGAAAACAGAAAACTGGTGGGAAAAGAACGTACGTTACGAACAGGATCAGCAAGCAGCATGAAAATGGTGAAGAGCAGACAGTTTGTGTGGCATGCAAAGCGCGTCATATGCTACATGATTGTGCAGAGTTCCAGAGCTGGAACGTTTCGAAAAGATATGGGCTCTGCAAGTCTGAGAGAATTTGTTTCAGATGCCTCAGTGGAAGACACCGCGGGACTAGTTGCAGGAAATTCCCAGGATGCACAGTTGATGGATGCAACGGCAGTCATCATACTCTCCTCCACGCTGAACGGCAGGAGCAAGAGCAGCGGCAGAGAGCCATGAACCGAGACCAGCCTGCGAGGTGGCAGAATGCGGCTGATATAAACGAGTTTCATCCATCTCAGCAGACCAGTGGAGCCAGTGGCACTGGTACTACGAGCAGGGCTACCAATCAGAGCTCAAGCTACAAGACAGCGACTGCAGAGCAAGAAGCCACACACGGGAAGATAGCCTTCCAGGTGGCACCAGTCTTGGTTCAACACAAGAACCGCTCGGTCGTCCTCAACGCTCTGCTCGATCCCTGCTCCGATGCCTCCTTCATTACTAAGACTGCTGCAGGCGAGCTGGGTTTCGATGGACCAGAAGAAGTGCTGCAGCTCAGCACAGTGAATGGAAAAGAAGACATCAGCATGAAGACGGGGGATGTGCAGCTTTCAAGTCTGCACAGCGCCTATGAAGCAGAAATCAAAGTCCACGTGATTTCAAGTCTCGATGGTGCATCAGTGCGTACAAACTGGAACACGGTGAAGAGCCAGTGGCCGCACATGAAGACCGTACCATTTCCGAGAATGAGTGGCGGCAGTGTCGACATTCTGATCGGCCTCTGTGCGGCGACGACCCCGCTATTTGTGCCTCTGAAGACCGTGAAGGGCGCCGATTCCGACCCAGTGGCAGTTTTGACTCCCCTGGGGTGGACGGCATTCGGTGCGATTAAGAAGTTCGCCGAACATGGATCCTCTGCGCTGAAGATGAGGGAGAACATGTCGAACTTTTCCAGAACACTGAGGACGCACGTCTCAAAGACAACATGTAAAGAAGAAATCGAAGCAATCAAGTGCATGACTGACCTAGAGGTACTTGAAGTTCGAAAATCAGAAGAAAGTCTGATGTCACGTGAAGAGCAGGAAGCAACAAAGAAGGTCTCGAAGTCGCTGATGTACAACGGTAGCCGCTATCAAGCAGCTGTGCCATGGAGGGATCAGGAACCTCAGCTGGTCAGCAACTATGAAGCAGCGATGCACCGTCTTGTTCGACTTGAGCAGTCCCTGAAGCGACTTGGAGGCGACCTGCCTGCCAGGTATGGTGCGATTCTTGAAGAGTACGTCAAGAAGGGCTACATGAGCAAAATCTTCGCATCCAAAAGAGAGCACAGTGGTGAAAAAGAGTGGTTTTTACCACACTTTCCAGTCGTCCGAGAAGAAAAGGAGTCGACAAAGGTCCGAATAGTGTACGATGCAGCCGCAAAGTATCAGGGAGTGAGCCTGAATTCACAGCTTCTCCCAGGGCCGTCTCTTTATACTGACCTGGTCGAGACACTGCTCGGATTTAGACTGCATCGCATCGCACTGATCGGTGACGTCTGCGAGATGTTCTTGCAGGTCGAGCTGGCTCCGGATGACCGCAAGTATCACCGAGTACTGTGGAGAAATATGAAGGACGAGGAGCCCACCGTATACGAGTCAAACAGATGGCTGTTTGGAAACGCGGCCGCTCCATTCGTCGCACAGTTCGTGCTAAAAGAAAACGCCAAGAAGCACGCCAGCGCGTTTCCGCTGGGTTCTGAGGTGCTACTGAAGCATTTCTACATGGATGACGGCATCCAGTCCTTCCGAACCGAACACGAGGCTGTAAAGGCGAGAGAGCAGGTCAGTACCATTTTGGAAGATGGTGGCATGAAGATCAAGAAATGGATGTCTAACAATGCGAGTGTGCTGAAGGCCATCCCCATCGAAGACAGAGCAGTCAGCTCTCAGCACTTCTTCGAAGATCAAGGCTCGGTACCAACCAAGACGCTTGGAGTAGTCTGGTCAGCAGATGAAGATCACCTGTCCATAGACACGTCAAAGCGAGGAGGCCTCTGCGGAGAACTGACCAAAAGAGCGTGCCTCAGGGAAATGGCATCCGTCTTCGATCCGCTCGGCCTGTTCGTGCCGCTCACCATTCGAGCGAAGATGCTGTTTCAGCAGACGTGGAACAGCGGAGTAGACTGGGATGACGCCTTGCCAAGTGACCAGCAGCTGAAGTGGCGTGAGTGGTTTAAAGATATACTGCAGCTCAGCAGCCTTTCAGTGCCAAGATGTATTCATCCTTTCCCAGACGCTACCCTCCAGGAGATTCACGTCTTCTGTGACGCCTCGGAGAAGGCCTACGGCACTGCTATTTACGTCGTCTCCGAATGTGAAGGTAAACGAGCTTCTCAGCTCGCGCTGGCTCGCGCTCGGGTAGCGCCACGAGGGAAGATCCAAACTATTCCAAGACTGGAGCTCATGGGCGCCCTGCTAGGATTGAGGCTTGTGAAGACGCTGTGCACAGCAATGAACAAGACACTAGAAGAGGTGCACTTTTGGTCCGATTCGATGGACGTGCTGTGCTGGATTCGGAATGAGGTTCGCCGTTTTCAGCCGTTTGTCGCCCACAGGATATCAGAGATCTGTGAGGTGACGTCACCTGAACAGTGGCAGCACGTGTCGGGGACAGACAACCCGGCAGATGCGCCTACCAGAGGCTTAAGTTTTAGTGAGCTGAAAGAGAGTCGGCTCTGGATGGAAGGGCCCAAGTTTCTGCTAGAAGACAGTAACGAGTGGCCACCGAAGAAGAATTTTCAAGCGGAGCAGTTCGACAAGTCTGAGTTCAAGAAGGACCAGAAAAGCACATTCGCTGTGAGAGCTCCGTCAGGTCCCAGCTGCCGACTTCTCAACCCGGAGGACTTCTCAAGCTGGACAAGGCTTTTGAGAGTCACAGCCTGGGTGCGGAGATTCGTGAAAGTTCTGCGGAGGGAAACTGCGAACAGAACTCAACTGGACAAGGAATTGAAGCCAGAGGAGATACTGGAAGCAGAGAAGTTCTGGGTGCGTCAGGCTCAAAAGGACTCGTTCCCAGAAGAAAGAGAGCAGCTCGAACGAGCGGCGACGACCGGCACAACGGCACGGAAAGCCTGCCGGCGAAGCAGTGTGAAACAGTTGAGTCCATTTCTGGATGAAGATGGAGTCATCCGAGTGGGTGGTCGACTGCAGCGATCGGATCTGAGCTTCGAGACGAAACATCCGATGCTGCTACCGAAGAACCACATCATCAGCAAGCTGGTGATTCAGCATCTTCATGTGAAGGCTGAACATGGCATGGGCATTGAGCACACTCTGGCTGACCTCAGAATGCGATTCTGGATCCCTGCAGCGAGAGAGATGATAAAGTCCTGCTCCCGAAAGTGCGTCACATGTCAGAAGCTCACAAACAAGCCCGAGGAACAAGAGATGGCACCGCTGACGACGTCACAAGTACAGTCAGGTGGTCTGCGAGCCTTCGAGGTATGTGCAGTGGACTACGCTGGCCCGTTCCGGACCAAGCAGGGACGAGGGAAGGTGCGACAGAAGCGCTACTTATGCATCTTCGTGTGCCTGCGAACAAAGGCGGTTCATCTGGAGATGGCGTACTCACTGGACACCGCCAGCTTCCTGCGCGCCCTGATGCGATTCATGTCGCGCCGCGGCTGTCCAGCAGAGATACGATCAGACAATGGGAGAAACTTCGTGAGGGCCGCGAAAGAACTGAAGAAGGAGGTCCAGGAGCTGGATGGCGAAGAAATTCAAAGAGAGCTGTCGCAGCATCAAACGAAGTGGACTTTCAGTCCACCTGGAGCACCTCACTTCAATGGGGTTTGTGAGGCGCTCGTGAAGGTAGCCAAGAAAGCACTGACGAAGACGTTAGAACGAGCGGATCTCACCGATGAAGAGCTGCAAACAGCCTTCTGCAAGGCTGAAGGACTTCTGAACTCACGGCCCCTTACAGCCGTCTCTTCCGATCCCAACGATCGGCCGCCGCTGACACCGGGAGACTTCATCACGGGACCGTCGAGAGTCGAGATGGCTCCCTCAGCAGGCAACGAGGGATGCAGTCTGCGACAGCGCTGGCGACGCTTGCAGCAGCTCAACACAGAGTTTTGGCGTCGCTGGTTGCGTGAGTACCTGCCGACTCTGCAGGTGCGGCAAAAGTGGACCGAAGCTCGACAGAATCTGAGGGAAGGAGAAGTTGTCTTACTTCTCGACCCGAGCGCACCTCGAGGAAACTGGCCGATGGCGAGGGTGGAGAGGACGTATCCTGGCTCAGACGGCCTGGTCAGAGTGGTGGATGTGAGAACGCCAAAGGGGCTTCTGAAGAGACCAGTCACCAAGATCATTCGGCTGGAGATGGAGCAGTGACTTGCTCCAAAAGACGATGGGGTGAAGTTCTGAATGACATGAGGGGGTCATTCAGGGTCGGGGGAGATGTTGAGGAGGAAATGTGAGCAATATGTGCGCGAGTGCTGTCCACGCGCTAAAATAATTTCGAGTGAAAAATAAAGGAGAGCAGTTGTGAGAGACAACAGGAGGACAATATGTAGTGTTTTTTACTTTAAGCATTTAAGTTAATTTGAAGCACAGTATTGTCAAACATTAAGTATTTAAGTTAAAATAAACATAACGCGAGGAGAATTATCACGGTAACATATATATATATATATATATATATATATATATATATATATATATATATATATATATATATATATATATATATATATATATATATATATATATACATATATATATATATATATATATATATATATATATATATATATATATATATATATATATATATATATATATATATATATATATATATATATATATATATATATATATATATATATATATATCTATATATGCATACATCGTTGAACACGACAGCATTCCTTGTGTTGTTGAGCTTCTTGGACTCATTTTCAAAGCGTCGTACTATACTTTTCTGCTCAGACGTTAAAGTAAATAGAAGTTGACCGAAGGAAGCAATGATTGTTAAAGTAAGAGCTGCAGCTAGGTATAAATGTTTTCCCATGTAGTTAAAATGAAACTTCTTTGTTGAATAATAGTCTATTTAAAGTAAAGCTTTCGATCAACGTTGATCATCATCAGTACAAAATTATAAACGATAGATGCCGCGCATGAATTGTCACAGTTATATACAAAATTGCAAATCACATCATTATGTTTTTAACTCGGCACCACGTTTCTGCAAAAGAAGTTTCGCATTTCGGCCTGAGGCGAACTAGATGAACGAAGATGAACAATAAAGCACATCATACTCGTATGTACACACAGTAAACCTATGTGTTAGTCATTTGTCTGTCAAAGAGAGGGATGTTCGTCAGGGTCTTTGTATGTGTGTTGATGATCGGGGATGTGTCTCGAATGATAATGGTCTCTGTGATGGCTAGTCGTCGTCTGTCGTTTTGTCGTGCCAGTATGGTGGTGTTTGCTGTCAGTAAGTCTCTGGTAAGTCGAATCCCGTGGTGCTCTGAAAGATGTGTTTTAGGTCCTCCGTCTTGTAAGTGCATTGTCAGTCGGCGGCTGAGTGATGTGGTCGTGTGTCCAACGTAGTATACGTTACGGGTTGCGCAGTCCCCGGTAGAACACTGAAAACGATATACTACGTTGGTCTGTTGTAGAGTTGTGGTTTGTTCCATGTTGTTCCGCATGATGAGTGAAGAGGTGCGAGGAGACTTATAGTATATTTTGAATCGTAAGCGATGGTCAGGCTGGGCCGGTGTCACGTTCTTCGAAATGATGTCTCGCATGGCCTTCTCGTCTTTTTTCCAGGATGGTGTGAGGGTGTTTCTGTAGTATATGTCGATGTTGCTACAGGGGTTGTGTCCTGTGTTTGAGTCGGTGTTGCATGCTGTCATGTACTTGTCAATCATGTCACGTGAAATGTCGTCGAAGTCACGGTTACTATAGCCATTGTTGACAAGCATCTGCCTCACTCGCTTCAGTTCACGATGAGCCACTTCCCACGTCGAACAAACTTTTAGGGCTCTCCTGACGTACGACCGAATCACACCGCGTCTATACGTATCAGTACAGTCCCCATTCGCATTCATACATCGTCCCATGTTTGTCGGTTTCACATAGACATCTGTATCAAAGCCGTTGTCGTTAGCATGAATCATAAGGTCAAGGAAGGGTAATTTCTTGTTTACGTTGAGCTCAGTAGTGAAGGCAAGACCTGACTCAGTTTGGAGCATGTCTCTCAACATTTCCAGATCATCTGCACTGCGCACGTCTACAAAAATATCATCGACGTACCGGCGGTAGATAAAGGGCTTCGGTTCACATTCGTTCAGGACCTTACTTTCGATGTGGCACATAAATGCGTTGGCAAATAAGACACCGAGCGGTGAACCCATCGCTACGCCATCGACCTGGTGGTACATTTTGCCAGAGGGACATCTAAAGGGGACCTCGAGAGTGCACGCACGCAAAAGGGACTCTAGTATGTTTCTAGGTAACTTGGGTGCCGCGATACTGCTGTTGTACACATAATCAAGTATGATTGCGATAGTTCTTTTGACTGGTACGTTGGTAAACAGGCTGGTGACGTCAAGTGATGCTAGTATACCGTTGGGTTTGTTGGCTCGAAGAATGTCCACGAAGTCTTCAGTAGAGCGAACGGTGTGATCAGTCGGGATGTATGGCGAAATCAGTGCGTTTAGCCTCTTAGCCAGTTGGTAAGTCGGTGATGGAATCTGGGATATGATAGGCCGGATTGGTTTTCCCTCTTTGTGCGTTTTGACATTTCCATATAGGTAGCCCGGTCGGTACTCACCAATGATCTTACTGAAATGAACATCATCTACTTTTGCGTTTGCTGCGTCGATGAGCCGGTTCAGTTTCGATTTCAATGCTTCGGTTGGGTTTCGTCTGATTGGCTTGAACTTCGAGTTGTCGGAGAGAACGTCGTCAATCTTGCTGAGGTAGTCTTCTTTATCCAAGATCACGTAGGTTGCACTCTTGTCGGCTCTTCTGATGACAATAGAGTCGTTGTTACGGAGTTCGCGTGCTGCATTCCGGAGGGCAGGTGTGAGAACACCTCGGCTAGATCGGTGTCTTTGTTTCGTTGATTCCGCTTGGAGGTCACTCTGAAGGTCAGAATTCAGGTGAACCTTTCCTTCATCTTTGAGCTTGCATAAGTCCTCAAAAAGTATTGCAATCTCGGTTTTCTTTTTGACTGCGTCATACTTGGGAAAGTGATGGCAGTTTATTCCCAAATTAAGGAATTCTTCTTGGTCGGGTGTCAGTGTGTGTGAAGAAAGGTTCACAAACCACTGACCTTTTTCGGGGACAACTACATCTCCCTTGTAGAGATGTGACAGCTTCTTCAGAACACGACTTCTAGCTAATTCGTCATGGTCGTGTAGGATTGCGAAAAGTGATTCATCTAGTCTTTCTTTCAGTTCTTGGTTAACCTCTAAGGAATCATAATCTGCTTTATATCTGGCAACGTTTTCAATCTGTTTTGTCAGTAGCTCCTTCTTGCGTGACAGTTGTTCAGTTGTCAAACGTCTTCGAAAATCGGTCACAAAATCCTCATGCTGCACTGCTCGGTCGTGGATATTTACATTTGCATATTTCGGAAGCAGGTTTTCTTTTATGCATACATCGTTGAACACGACAGCATTCCTTGTGTTGTTGAGCTTCTTGGACTCATTTTCAAAGCGTCGTACTATACTTTTCTGCTCAGACGTTAAAGTAAATAGAAGTTGACCGAAGGAAGCAATGATTGTTAAAGTAAGAGCTGCAGCTAGGTATAAATGTTTTCCCATGTAGTTAAAATGAAACTTCTTTGTTGAATAATAGTCTATTTAAAGTAAAGCTTTCGATCAACGTTGATCATCATCAGTACAAAATTATAAACGATAGATGCCGCGCATGAATTGTCACAGTTATATACAAAATTGCAAATCACATCATTATGTTTTTAACTCGGCACCACGTTTCTGCAAAAGAAGTTTCGCATTTCGGCCTGAGGCGAACTAGATGAACGAAGATGAACAATAAAGCACATCATACTCGTATGTACACACAGTAAACCTATGTGTTAGTCATTTGTCTGTCAAAGAGAGGGATGTTCAGCTCAACAACACAAGGAATGCTGTCGTGTTCAACGATGTATGCATAAAAGAAAACCTGCTTCCGAAATATGCATATATATATATATATATATATATATATATATATATATATATATATATATATATATATATATATATATATATATATATATATGTATATATATATATATATATATATATATATATATATATATATATATATATATATATATATATATATATATATATATATATATATATATATATATATATATATATAAGAAAAAGCTTCAGACGTTTCGATAAGTATTATTATCTTCGTCAGAATAAATGGCCTCATCGTTTCGCCGCACAACACAACACATACGTGGCGCACATATCAACATGAGCGTGATAAACATATTCGTGCACGTCCAATAAAATGTACGCATTAAAACAGAACAGGAAATTCAGACACTATACGTACTACGCGGTCTCCTACCAAACGAAAACGACTCAAATTTACACACGATGACATACACGCCTATTCCATAATCACCAGATCCCTCCGGCCGCGTTGCTGTTCCAAATTTTGTGAAGACATTTTAATTTAAAGGAAATAGTTCACTTTCACGATATTATTTTTTTTGCAATGGATTTATGATTTTTTATGTTCAAAATGATCAGCAAAGAAAATAAAACCTATTTATAACAAAAGATTATTTTCTATATTTTGATATAGGAAGAACTTTTCAGTTTCTGTAAGGCACTCGCGATCCAGTATGAAAAGAGCATGGGTCCCAAAAATTATTCAGAAACTAGAGAAATTATCGCGGCCACCGGCATTTGGACGATCTGCTGCTGCTGAATGTCCTTATTGATCAGTACGAGAATTTCTCTAGAGTTCTCGTAGATAATTTCTCTAGTTTCTGAAGAATTTTCGGGACCCATGCTCGTTTCATACTGGATGCAAATATATGCAAGGCACTTTTTCGGGACGAGAAATAGAATATCTTTGCCTAGGGTGATCGTTGGGCTGTAAAAGCTCCTGATTTATGCTCGTCTCAGCCCAGGCTACGGAACTGCTATTCCAGTTCAAAACCCATGTTAAAAAGTGAACTATTTCCTTTAAGATTTTGTGGTATGCTGTGCCGCCTGACGGCTGTGCCCTGCGGGTCAGTCTAACTCGTCGCCAGCCGACACCCGTTCATCCGTAGCGCTTGTTCATTCCCTCCTTTCCGCCTTGCGTTCCCAGCAGATTCATCCACCGCTTCTCTCTTGACCGCCTGTACTCGACATCTTGGCTCCACACTCTTTCTAGCCCGACGACCCACACATCATCTATACTATGTCCCGGGGCAAGAAAGTGGAGCCGAACCGGGAGGGACACAGCAGGATTACTGGCCCTTATCGACGACAGGTGGTTCTGGATGCGAGTGTACAGACAGCCGCCCGTCTCACCCACATAGCACACACATCGACACACATTGCACCATATCCCATATATCACATTTACACTCCTACACCCAATCGTTCGGTCATAAGTGGTGACACACCCATGTCTCGGTCCCTGCACTAACTCCCCACTCGCATATGTCCGCTTACAAATGACACAACTCTTACCACAGTTTTGGACTTTGCGCTCGCCTTCGCCAGATATCACCCGCCTAGTCTTACCATGCACCAGTATGTCTTCTAGATTTTTGCCTCGTTTGTACGCTACCATTGGGTCAGAGGGAAATGTGATATATGGGATATGGTGCAATGTGTGTCGATGTGTGTGCTATGTGGGTGAGACGGGCGGCTGTCTGTACACTCGCATCCAGAACCACCTGTCGTCGATAAGGGCCAGTAATCCTGCTGTGTCCCTCCCGGTTCGGCTCCACTTTCTTGCCCCGGGACATAGTATAGATGATGTGTGGGTCGTCGGGCTAGAAAGAGTGTGGAGCCAAGATGTCGAGTACAGGCGGTCAAGAGAGAAGCGGTGGATGAATCTGCTGGGAACGCAAGGCGGAAAGGAGGGAATGAACAAGCGCTACGGATGAACGGGTGTCGGCTGGCGACGAGTTAGACTGACCCGCAGGGCACAGCCGTCAGGCGGCACAGCATACCACAAAATCTTAAATTAAAATGTCTTCACAAAATTTGGAACAGCAACGCGGCCGGAGGGATCTGGTGATTATGGAATAGGCGTGTATGTCATCGTGTGTAAATTTGAGTCGTTTTCGTTTGGTAGGAGACCGCGTAGTACGTATAGTGTCTGAATTTCCTGTTCTGTTTTAATGCGTACATTTTATTGGACGTGCACGAATATGTTTATCACGCTCATGTTGATATGTGCGCCACGTATGTGTTGTGTTGTGCGGCGAAACGATGAGGCCATTTATTCTGACGAAGATAATAATACTTATCGAAACGTCTGAAGCTTTTTCTTTTATAATTTTAATGGCCACCTGCTGATTCTTATATATATATATATATATATATATATATATATATATATATATATATATATATATATATATATATATATATATATATATGTGAGAGCCCAACGGCCTTAATCGATTAGACACATTCCGTTTTGAGTGCCTAGCTTCGAGGTCTGACTGAGTAACCTACGTCTGGAGGTTCCGTCCCGACTCTTGAGGCCCCTGGCCCGTGCCGATCTCTGAGGGCCTCTGAGAGAACTACATGCTATTGCTGACGCTTGTTGTTTTGTTGGGTTAGGCCCTTTCGGTCTGACGAGACCATTTCAGAGCCGGAAGGATGATAGGAATTAGGGGGAAACATTGGCCTGGGCAGGCACCCTAGTGAGTCACCGGGACTGAGCCCGTCCAGAGGACAGGCCACCCAGCCCCAAGGTACTCACTGCACCCGGCTACGGGGTGCGCTCCCTCGGTAGCAGCGGTGCCGCTCCAAGGGAGTAGCCCGCATGAGATAAAGATGCCTGTCCAGCCCGGAGGGTATGCGGCGTGGAGGAGAAGGATTTCAGTATCCTGAGGATAGAAGCGCGGAACGGGTGTTGCTTGCTGAGGCTGACGAGGGCCTTGGGCTGACGCAGGGGGATGTCGTCCCGGTTTTCCCCATGTATTATTCGCCAATCAGCTTAACACTACCAGTGACGTCACTGGTGGATCGCCAATCGGGGCCGTCCGGCCGGCCGGCCGGCCGGGCCCGCAGAAGGCCAAACGCAGACGTTTTCAGAAAAGCGTAGGCCGTATAGATACAGTCGCAGATGGAGTTTTGCTGTGATTCGGCTCTCCAAGAGTGCGTCAGCGGACCAGGACCCGGATAAAAGTCATAGTGAACCGGCATCTGATAAAATCCGCTCACGGCTTAGCAGCCGACTTCGACCCTTCGCCCTCGTAAAGCACAAAAGCTTGCCGGTCATCAATCTACCTGCATCTCCTCATCTGCTTAACACGCGCACTGCAGCGGGTCTGAGCCGAACACGAACTGCAGGGGGGGGGGGGGTTGAAAACAACCCCCCCTGAGATCTCGAAAACGGCGCAACGTAGCGACAAGCGGTAAACGGCGTTGGATAGGTTAAGATGAGATCGACAAGAAATACTAAGATCATTTTTGGGTCAGGTCAAAAACGAGGTCACCAGAGGTCACCGAAGACAAAATGTTACGATTTTCACAACAGGAATTTCTCGGTAGTTTTTCTTGAATAACTTGCCTTGCACACAAGACAGAGGATCGATTCGAACGCCATCGTTCTTAGCTCGTCAAGGCGCATCGAATGATATATAATATGACCTCGAAAGGTCAAGTTGAAAATTTGACCTCAGGTCAAGGTTATGACCTGACCGAAATAGGTCATGTTGCATATCATTCGATCCGCATTGACGAGAAAAACACGATAAACGTCGAACGGAGTCTCTATCTCTACTCAATCTCAAGTTATTGAAGAAAAACCGCTGGTGACCTCAGGTGACCTAAGATGACCTGGAGATCACCTTCCAAAGGTCATAAGTGATATGTTTCGGTGAAATCACCAACAGGGACCTGTAATACTATGATCCTGAGCGTATTGAAGTCATAGGATGGCATTCAGAGTAAGTTGAAATTTCTCCCATTGACTTATAATGGGCCGGTCGCAAAAATGACCTGACCTTAGGTCATCGATATAAAAATTCCGAGATATACAAGTTGTAGCTCGTGATGACTTTACTATTTCCTGTGGGTTTCAAGATCATATCTCAACAACTGTGGGCTTGGTGGGATTGCAAACTTCGAAATTTACGTTTCGAGGTAGGGTCACTTGACCTGACCTGGTGACCTGACCATAGGTCACCTGGGGTCAAAAATTTTACTCAAGGTGTGCAAAAGTTGTGAGAACAGGTATGCAAAATTTGGCGGCGCTACGCGCCGCCGTTTTCTCGCAATTTGCGAAAAACCACAGGGGGGGTTGAAAACAACCCCCCCTGCAGTGCGCGTGTTAATGCCTATATCGACCAGTTACTGCAGCCGTTTTGGAGCGGCTCACGGCCGATAACACGCCGAGCGTGCGCTAGCCGCCGGTGCTAAGCGCTAACCATGGGTCACCGGCGCGGCGCCGCTGACCCACGAGGGGGGGGGGGGCTGCTAATTAGTTGAGCCGGAATTGGGATAGAAGCTGGTATGGGATTGGGATAGAAACTCAGCGAGACTAAGGGATTGTGTTTTGCCTTCGGTAGGCCCCCAAAAATCACCGGTGTAGTGCCCTCAGGGCCGGCGGTTATGAAGCCTTTGGAGGCACTGGGTGTGGGCCCTCACAGGTAGGTACCGGTGTGAGGCCCTCGGAGGCATTGGTGCGGGGCCCCAGAGGTACCGCTGTGGGCCCTCTGAGGTGCTAGTGTGTGGCCCTCAGAGGCGTTGGTGAGGGTCCTCACAGTTGCCATTGTGGGCCCTCAGAGACACTGCAGTGTGGGGTCATCACAGCCGGGTGTGAGACCCTTAGAGCTGCTGGCTCGAAACCCTTTATAAGCCGACAGGGGCTCTCAGAGACCGACAAGGGGCCCTCAAGGGGTCTGCGGTGTCTTCAGGAGGAGCCCTGTGGAGTCCTCAGAGACCAGCAAGGTACTCTCAGACGCCGGTGGTGGCCCTCAGAGTCGTCGGTGTGGGGCCCTCAAAAGTACCGGTGAGTGGCCGTCCGATGCGAAGGTCCCGTCTTAGGCCGTCAGAGGCTCCGGCGTTGAGCCCTCAGAGCCGCCGATATATGGCCGTAAGAAGCACTGGTTTGGGCCTTTGGAACTTCATTCAGGGGTGCCGGTTGAACTCAGGTGGCAGTGTGGGGCCCTCAGCTGGGCACCGGTTTGGGGCTTTCACAGCCACCGGTGAGGGCCCTCGCAGGCGCCGTTGTGGGGGCCTTCAACCATTGGTTTAGGGGGTCATCACAGGCGTGTGTGGAACCCTTAGAGCTGCTGGTCCCTGATAGGCCGGTAAGGGCCCTCAGAGGCCGGCAAGTAGCCCTCAGAGGTCGCCAATGGGCCCTGAGAGGCCGGCAAGGGGTCCTCAAATGCCGACAAGGAACAATAAAAAGTCGGTGTGTGGCTCTTATGGAGAGAAGTGTGGCTATTCGGAGCGCATAAGGTGTTCTTTCGAGCCCTGTGGGGCCCTTCTGAGTCGAAAATGCCAGCGTGGACCCTCAGCCGCCAATTGGCGTCGCAGGGCCCCTCGGGCCCGAGAGGCCCCCTGATCCGATGGGGGCACGTGCCCCCTGCCCCCCCCCCCCCCACTCCCTCCGGGTGCAGATAGAGAATGCACTGGGCGGTGCGGGACACAACAATTGCAATCGTTCCTTCTCCCGTCGCGAGGTCGCCCATCCGACCCATATCCCAAGATTGTCAACCCTGGGGCTCGGGTCGGCTATGTATCGGCAAGGAAATCAGCTTTAGGTGGGTAAAAAAGTTATTAAGAGTCATTAGTTGTCGTTACGTTCAGTAATAATACCGATAAAGTGCCAAATGTACCCGACGTACGGCTTGGAGCCGGGCGCCGCGCGGTCTCCACCAGTGACGTCACGCTAATGCTTAGCGACCGGTCCATTGGAAATTGCGGGATGATTCTACCTCTCTTATACGGCCTTGGGCTGACGCTGCAGTCGCCCTCTGAATGTCCCACGCCAGCCTTTAAGGGCCAAAACCGCTGCACTGACTTCTGAGGGTCGACGCCTACGGCTCGCGGCAATTTTTAGGGTCCCATCGGCCTCCGAAGGGCGGCCCAAGATCGGTTTCGGGTTTCCGTTTCAGAACTCCCTACCTCGATACGTGAGGGACACCATGTAGTTATTCAAGCATGAATCAGCCAGCTTTAGTTATCCTAATAATTGCTTTATTTGCTAACACAAGTGACGTCACCTATGCCAGGACAAGAACGTATCACGGAACGTACTGACGGTCAAGATCAAACAGCGCACTGCGCAGTCACGTGATCTGCATTCATTGAGTCTTGTTTTATTCGTATACAAAAAAAACTAAAAAGGGACGATTGTAGATAAGAAAATAATATAGCACATTTGATTATATTAAGTTATCCAAAAAGAAAAAAAAATCAGTTTGGCATTGCAACTGCTAAAAGCATGCTAAAAGCCTTACATAAATTGTGTACGAAAAGGAACAACAATAGTCATCTGACGTTAGTAAATTTCTGCTTTTGTGGCGCTCTTTAGACATGTCTGGCGCTCAAAATTATTCAACACACAAGTCTCTATTGCCCCTGTCTCGAAGGAATTTGGTTGTCTGGGTGCCTGTGGTTATTTACTGTTTTATTACTGCAGATCAGGCCAAACCTGAGATAACTCTGAGAATTCCAGAAATAGGGACGCCAGCGTCTTCTCTTCAGGTTTCTAATTAGCATTCATCAAGTTCAAGAGCAAATTACTAGCAAACATGTCTGGAAAGGATCGTCTTGCCATTTTCCCATCCAGAGGGTAAGTGGCCATTTTTTCATATTTTCAGCCTCACAATATTATGTACGCTTTATATTTTTCCATGTTTTAATGCTTGATGATCATTTTTGTAATATGTTCTCAGACTTACATAATAAAATGAAGCAATTGCTAATGCTCACCTCAGTCTATCATTGTTGAATTCTGTTTGTGTTGGTGACTTTGTTGCTTAACTAGTCATGGAAATTGATATTGTTATTGTGATTATGACTACTACACTGTCAAGGCCATGTGGACAAGGCAATAAATGGTCATGTAGAATGGCGCAGCTGGGTGTACTGTCCGAGAGGTTTTGTTGTTTTAGCATCAATTTTTCCAGTTGCAGTTATTGTGGGTAGATGTTGCAGCTACCTGGCTGGATAAGTTAGATATGTGTATTATTGCATGTTGTGATACTAATAAGCTTCATTCAATCACAATTTAAACAAAGGACATTCATGTCTCCAACCTGTCTGTCAAATGTAAGCCTTTAGCCAGTAGGTTGTTTTCATCTTTTGTTCTGATGGTAAAAGAGCATGGAGTGACCAGGCCTGTTGGGACATTAAATGCTTGAAAAGTGGCAGCTCAAGGTTCATTTGACAAAAGACAAATCTCATTGTTGTTCAGTTCAGTATAAAGGAGAACATCTGGAGAGAGTGAAAATATGATTGGAGATGGCAGCCCTTCACTTCTGTGATATCATTAGCTGATAGCTATGACACTCATTGGAGGAACAAGAAACTGTTGGTGAGACAATTGTTTAAAGGTTAAGAATATTGTATGAGAAGTGTGCCAGTCGCCAGACCAGAGTAGAGGCTTTTGCTTGCCATATGCACTACAGTGTAAATGTCTGTCATTATTGTTTATAACCTTGTTGTGTAAATATGTGTCCTGTGGTGAAGTCAAGCTTTATGGCTCAACTTGTGATTCAGATCATGTGCATGCAAACTTCATAACTTAGGCTTAATTCAGCAACAAGGCACACCATGCCTGTAACAAAAAGCATGATGCATCTTGGGCATTTACCAGACAGCGTGCAAAGTCCAGGCATACACATTCAGCAATCATCTCATATCCCACAAGGACATATGTGAGGTGAGGCAGAACTTGTCTTCAATTGCAGTATTTCTGAATTGTCTTATTTCCATTCCAGAGCTCAAACAATGATGAAGCTTCGTCTGAAGGGCGCTCAGAAGGGACACAGTTTGCTGAAGAAGAAGGCTGATGCTCTCCAGCTGCGGTTCCGTACCATCCTAGGAAAGATTGTGGAGGTACGTTTTTCCTGAGGTGTAGGATGTTTGTTATCTTGCCATCAGGTGCTGATAAGTCATATGACTCATCCATGATACAATAAGGCTTCTCCTTCTCAGAGGCAGTGCAGTTTTAAGTATATTTCTCGCATTTCGCCTATTCCGCCGATGCCATTGTAGTCCGGGCACTGACACCCCAACTCATTGCCACCTATCAGGCAGTAACCTCCATACCGTTCCACCACAGACGAAGACGCTGATGGGCGAGGTGATGAAGGTGGCAGCCTTCTCACTGGCCGAGGTCAAGTTCGCCATCGGAGGCGAGACGTCGCTGCCGCAGGTGGTGCTGCAGAACGTGAACAAGGCGCAGATCAAGGTCCGCACCAAGAAGGACAATGTCGCAGGTCAGATGGGGTGCCGGGCTGTCGTCGAGAGGTCGTATCAGATGTGGTAGAGTTGTCTCAGATGTGGTATCGTTTTTTTTTTCTCAGATGTGAGGCTGAGGTGTTCGATGTGTCTTTTTGGTGCGCTGGTGCTCCATAAATTAAGTCACTGAAAGTTATCTTTCGTGAGTTGGGTTATCAGAGTTTGGTACAAAGCTGGTACACTCGGGGGTAGATTGATGTTCCACCACTCCCTACCCATCGGGCTCCCATGGCTCAGCACTGGCTGCTGCCAGTGGCAGTACTGAGCAGTGCTGAGGGCAGGCAACACTGGCAAGTGGCAGCAGCCAGTGCTGAGCCATGGGAGCCCGATGGGTAGGGAGTGGTGGAACATCAATCTGTCCCCGAGTGTACCAGGTTCATGAATGGATTCGACGATTGCTCTAAATGACTTTTTTTTGACGGGCTTACTGTATCTTGGACTTTCGCCTGTTCTAACATTTATTACGGAGCGAGCGAAGCGAGCGTAGTCTTTCCTTAGATTAACGGAAATTTCTAAGTATGAGCGGCCGGCCGGCCGGCCGGCCGTGGTCACGCTTTTGCGAGGCTTATATCTCAGCAACCACTTGACCGATTTACATGTGGTAATTTTTGTAGGGTAGCTCCATTCCTTCTACCAAGTATTGGACTATTCCCGATGCATGTGGGTGACCCCTTATGCACGTGCCACGTGCAAAACGAAGAGGTGTCACTTTTGTAATTGTTGCAATATCTCGGTAACTACTTGGCCGATTGCGCTGAAAGTTGGCATGTAGGTAGGCACCCACTATGCAATGCATATCCATGTGCCAGAGTTGAGGTGCTGCTGCACGTGCGCACGTGCAGGGGTCGATTCCAGATCTCGAGAACGGCTGGACCGATGGCGCTCAAATTTGGTACATGGTTAGGGACCGGTTAGTAGGGTGCCGTGCAAAAGTCAGTTGGGACCCATTTTGCACGTGCGCACGTGCAGGGTGCCGCTTCCAGATCTCGAGAACGGCTGGGCCGATTGTGCTCAAATTTGGCACATCGCTAGAGACCGGTTAGTAGGGTGCCGTGCACAACTCGGTTGGAGGTACCCCCTCGCAATTTCGCACGTGCAAGGCTCACCCTCTCGCTCGCTCCGTTAGTCGCCCCAAAAGGCGTTATACTGGTTACGGAGCGAGCGAAGCGAGCGTAGTCTTTCCTTAGATTAACGGAAATTTCTGAGTATGAGCGGCCGGCCGTGGTCACGCTTTTGCGAGGCTTATATCTCAGCAACCACTTGACCGATTTACACGCGGTAATTTTTGTAGGGTAGCTTCATTCCTTCTACCAAGTATTGGACTATTCCTGATGCATGTGGGTGACCCCTTATGCACGTGCCACGTGCAAAACGAAGAGGTGTCCGTTTTGTAATTGTTGCAATATCTCTGTAACTACTTGGCCGATTGCGCTGAAAGTTGGCATGTAGGTAGGCACCCACTAGGCACTGCATATCCATGTGCCAGAGTTGGGGCGCTGCTGCACGTGCGCACGTGTAGGGGTCGTTTCCAGATCTCGAGAACGGCTCGACCAATTACCCTCAAATTTGGTACACAGTTAGGGACCGGTTAGTAGGGTGCCGTGCACAAGTCAGTTGGGACCCATTTTGCACGTGCGCACGTGCAGGGTGCCGCTTCCAGATCTCGAGAACGGCTGGGCCCATTGTGCCCAAATTTGGCACATCGCTAGAGACCGGTTAGTAGGGTGCCATGCACAAGTCAGTTGGAGGTACCCCCTCGCAATTTCGCACGTGCAAGGCCCACCCTCTCGCTCGCTCCGTTAATCGCCCCATAAGGCGTTATACTGGTCGTACGATAATCGACACCGACACCTTTCAGCGCCGAAGGCTGAGCTCTAACCACTACACCTACCTCACCCCGTCCCCGCCGACAGGTGTGACTCTGCCCGTGTTCGAGAGCTACCAGGAGGCCACCGACCAGTACGAGCTGGCCGGTCTGGCGCGAGGCGGACACGCCGTGGCCAACATGAAGAAAAACTACCAGAAGGCCATTGAGCTGCTGGTGGACCTGGCGTCGCTGCAGACCTCGTTCGTCACACTGGACGAGGTCATCAAGATCACCAACCGGCGTGTCAACGCTATCGAGCACGGTGAGTCTTGTCGTCTCACTACGGGGTGAGAGCGAGGGATGGAAGTCAGATACATCACACCGGCTTGCCCTCAGCGTACATTGGAAAAAACTTGCACTTAAGATTATCGACGTGAGGCCCGATTTTTTTTTCGTCGTTAGCTCCGACGTTGCATTAGTACGAGCATGATAATCACGCATAGCGGTGGTTCAGCGTTTTCGACACCCATCAAGTGAGACAACCTTGCTCAGTGGGCCGCACGTTTCCTTTATTCGACTCTAATGGCATTATTGGAGCCTTGCCGAGTTCTCGAGAATGTCATCCCGCGCTTGGTCCCGCGTTTTCGAATCAAGCAGCCGGCAGGTCAAAAGGCTACTCCGGGTCGTAAAGCGAGACTGTGCTATTGGGGTGCTCGTCCGAATGATCTATTTTTAGATGAATCGGGCCGGCGTTCAGCTTTCCTAGAAACTCACACTTGGACGTAACTGTGAGCGATAGTGTTTCTCCGTTGATGTTTGGCTGTGAAATTGACAGCATCTCTCTATTCATTTCAGTGATCATTCCTCGCATTGAGCGTACGTTGGCCTACATCATCTCGGAGTTGGACGAACTGGAGCGAGAGGAGTTCTACCGGCTGAAGAAAATCCAGGTACGGAAATCGGCGACTGGCTCTGGTATTGGGACCACAGCAACCACTAGGCTAAATGTGGAATGGATGGACCCTGTCTGGTGCTGCCACCTAGCAATGAAGCTGTCTGTTAGCTCTAACTTCGTAGCGTTTGTTGTGTAATTGACGTGACTACGCACTACGTGCCATATAGTTTTTGCTTGCATCTTATCTGGAATACTGCTAAGAGCTTATCCAATACCTCTTCCTAACCTCCCCTATGTGTCGTTCCCAGGACAAGAAGCGTATCGCCCGTAAGAAGAAGGAGGCGCTGGAAGAGCTGGCAGCGGCGGAGCGCGCCGCCGCCGGCGTCACCGACGAACCCGACACCAAGAACATGCTGGACGAGGTGGTGGACGAGGACGTCATCTTCTAGAGCGTGCTCTCCGACACTGGCTGGTCCGTGCGGTTCGTTGGGTTCCCTCTTCTTCCTCTTTTGGGTACACTTTCTAGAGGCCATCTTTGATGCAAGGCTCAACGGGAAGTTCCAACTTTCAACACACTCGTATTGTGTTTTTAGCTGCGTAAATTAATTTGGAAGTTATATGAATTGAACATATTGCAAATGAAATTGCAATATTCAGTCATTGTTCATAGCGTTTCACGAAAACAACGACGATAGCCAGTGTCCCCTAATCGCTGTTTTGTTCTGATGCGAGAGTGTTGTATATAGCGTGTATTGTGATTCGTGGAGATGATATATTGTCCCGGAATGAGTGTAGGTGTGATGTGTCTGGATGAACTCCTCCCCTGCTGCATAGCGGATATGCGGGGAGCTGATGAGACATTCCTGTAGGTATGCTACTGGTGAAACTCAGTTGGATAGATTTGGAGAGATCTATCAAAGTCTGTGGTTTGTGTTGGTCAGTGTTTTGTCCCAGGCAATTGGGAGATAGAAACCGCCAACAAATCATGATATAATTAATGATTTCGTCGTATTTGTGTCTCGCTGGCTGCTTATAGATAAGATGCGGCTAAATGTGAATTTAATTGCCCAAAATACACACATTATTTAGCGTGGTTTATTGATGAAACAGTCATTTCTTATTAGCGTAACTCAGCAGATGTCGTTAACTTCAATTCTCACTAGCAAATCGTATAGGGAGCTGTCACTCACAAAGCAATGACAAATCAAGTCCAACTATGCTACATTAAAGTCTGTTATATACATGGTCAGGGGAATCACCCACATTTCCTCGGCACGAGGCATAGCACACACAACTGATTGTTCTTCGATACAAGTTACTCCCCGATCTCCCAATGCCCACTGTGCGACATGACACGTCTCGCGACGCGACCCTCTTCTCTTTCATCGTCCAACAATAACTGCCCACCGTTGGCGACTGGTTTCGGCACTCAGAATGTTCCCTTACCCTCGGCCCGTCTTGACGCCACCGACATGGGCCAACATTGAGCTCAGTCCATATCCTATCAGCACAAACCTTAGCACCAACCTTGGGTCGGAAGATGGCACCACCGCTGCGAACACTACGACGCATCGCTGCCGTTTCCGTTCAGCTGCAGAGTTTATCTGCATCCACTCGGCTTCGGCACACACCACACAAGTGTTCACAGTCGTTCGACCTCCGGCAGACACCTGTTTGGGGTATGTCTCTCCACAGGCGGCGCTCACGAAAGGCCCGGGCTCGGCATACGACGCACTACATAGATCGGTCCCCGCTGCCTGAGTGACCGAGGCAGGCGCTTGAACATTAATGTGGTTGACATCTATTCGCTCCATCAAAGAACTGTGTGAAATGTCAACATGTCGCACTCGCACTGTGTCGTGTTGATGACGTTGATCGGGTTTTCCTGATGTCTGTTGTTCAGAGTTTTCTCAGCTTGTTCTGGGTGATGTCTCGGCTGTCTTCCTTCGCTTTCCGATTTCATTTCATTTCCCGATGGGTTTCAGTCTTCATCTGAGCTCATCAGAGTCACCTTATCACCCGATTGGAGGTCTTCGGCCATTCGCTGCAAAACAGGGTGGGAGAGGTCGTCACTGACGTGCGCGTCTGTCCTGTATAAACGTCGGTCATTGACACCTCAAAAACGTGATTCCTTTGAACCGCCACAGATGACAGAACGGGTGACTGAAACGTCATTTCATTCGTGTCGGAAAATGTCAAGCCAGATGAGTCACGTCTGGCTTTTGGAAACAGTCAAGTAGATGATATGTCATCCAGATATTTAACGGCTAGCACAAGCCGATATGATATAACTACCCAACTCATGGAATTAGCTGATGTTAGATCTGCTAAGTTTGGAGCGCCAGATGGCACACTTATTCAACTTTTCCCCTAGCCCTAACTCCGTGCCTAGCCCTAAGTCTAGCCATTTGTAGAGGCTGAATGGGGCAAGGGTGCCCGTGCCCCATCCAGTCTCTATTGACTTACACCGATGTTTTTCCGTCGCTGGTTCCTGTCAGATCGTCGTTTGGCGGCTGTGATTGCTGCCAAGGCCACCAAGGCCAACATCACGATCACGGCTATAGACGCCGGTACGAACGCTGGATCGGTGGTCATTGCAGACTGCCGGTTACAGGGGGCATGGGGTCAGTTATTTGGTGTGTCACCATGTGGGCTGCTTGGCGTTATAAACAACTTTTACATTTGACAACCACTCACATAGCTCACGGCTGTATCCGGCGTATGGCTATGTCCGTCCGTGTCATGGCCAACTTACATCTTCGATGTTAACGAGTGTGTCATGGCTACTTGAAACATTTTCGACGTCAACGTGTCAAAATAGCTGTTAGTGTGAACTTTGCTAATTCCATCAAGTAATATGTCTCACTTCCCAGTCGCTGTCACTTGGGCTGCATCGTGTGCGATGGAAGACTCCACACTGTTTCCCTCGATATTTCATCAGCCACTGCATATGCATAATAAATTATCAGTTCTGTTGAACACTCCGTGGAATTGGAGCTGCCATTAGCATATTGCCCTCAGCCCTGAAGGTTTATGAGTCCCTACCCACTCCAGCCCTTTTCAAGAACTTACCGTCCAGGTGCGATGAGGATCGTACTGGTCCGAAGCAGCTGGAGGAGCACCTCCTCCCTGTTCCCCGGAGGACGTCCATTCCTCCGAGCCGGAGGAACTCGCCGGAGGGACCTCGTCGGCCGGCTGAACAGCCGTGGTCGGCGCTGCGGTGGTAGTGGTCGTGGTTGTTGTAGAAGTGGTGATTGGAGCCTCTGTGGTAGTGGTGGTGGTGGTTGTTGGTTCGGTTGTGGTGGTTGTTGGCTCAGTGGTAGTAGTGGTGGTGGTGGTAGTGGTGGTAGTTGTCGGCGGCTCTGTAGTTGTAGTTGTGGTCGTGGTGGTGGTCGGCAGCGTCACCACCTGCTGCGCCTCCGCTGCCGGCTCGAGTCTGGACCCGCTGGCCGCCGGCCCGACCAGCACCAGCGGCAGTGTGACGACCAGCACCACGGTGGTCAGCGCCATACCAGCGCCCAGCGCCATCAGCAGCGCCCGGCGGCGCAGCGAGGCCGTGGCCACGGCGGGCAGCGCGCCGGCCGGCGGCAGCAGGTCCTCCACGTCCTCCCCCTGGGAGATGATGGTGTAGTGCCGGGTGGCCGCCATGGCGACGTCCTTCGTCCGCCGGTCGGCCCGCTGGTCACACCGCCTCTACCGGATCGAGGCACGCCGAACTGTCGCTTGTGTCCGCTCTGACCTTAGCGAGGACGGCGAAAGCCCAATCTTGTCGATTCCGCTCCTCGATTTCACACACTTAACTCTTGAAGCATACCACTCGCTGCTCGTTCCTCCAACTGCCCGCGTCACGTAGTTCGCCGCCGCTCGGTCCGAACTCCGAACTCGACTGTGTAACGCTGTGACGACCGGCCCGCGCCGATCGATGCTGCGTGACGGCCCCGTCTGGTGCCCCCCCCCCCGCCCCCTCCCCGGCGGGGCATGCCGCAGGTGCCCCAACACCTGTGCCTTCTCACTGTGATACCGGCTGTAGGCGCGCTCTGCTGCGAACAGGGAGAAACGCGGTGTAGATAGGTAGCGGGGCTGGATGACTCAAAGGCCCACCAACGGCTGAGAGAGAAGAGCCTGCTTCTCAGAGTCAAAGGGTAGCTTAGGGGGCATATTATATAACTCGTTTTCGTAAGGAAGTAAAAACTTTCAGGTGTTGCCTTTGCTTCAGACTCAATAACTGCAACTTTTTCGAACTTTTGCTAGCATTAGCTCCTGAACCGGGTTCAGTATCCAATAAACGTAATCTGATATTCTACTGGTTGAACTATCAAATCCTAATCAAACACGTCTCATGTCCTTGTGTGACTCGTGCCACCTCACACGTCCTTATATCCCATTTCCCAGGCCCGTTCAAATACCGAGACTACATGTCAGTTTACATTTCCACCGCAGCTGATAACAAAACGGCTGCTGTTCGCACTGCGGGCGGCTCAGCCGGCGGACAATGCCGTTCGGACTAGATCAGTGGGGCAGGCGAGAGACCGAGCGCCGACCGCGGACAGGGGGCGCTCACAGCTTTCCTCCTCCTCCTAACATCGGCAGTAAGAGGCAGGCGTCTGCTGAGACGGCTTCGACAGCATACATGACTACCCAGCGCGCAGTTTCGCGTCTCCCGTGAGTCGGTATATGCGGCGGGTCGGACGAGCGAAGTCCACAGAGACCACGGCTAGGCCAGGGCGACCCTGCACCGACCGAGTCCTTGCCGGTCGTCTCGGAAACAGAGTACACACGGCTGAACGTTACCGCCATGCGTTCACGACCTCATGATTATCGAGCGACACCATTACAGCAACCAAACAGGAATGAAGAGCTAAAACAGCGTCGTGACTGCCCCGAGTCGGGCAAATAACATAACAATAGTTTAACAGAGGTGCCCCCGAGAGACGGGAGCAACGTGCATCACCCGGCTCCCTAATGCACGGATATTGGAGACCTAATAATAGCGTCATACGAACGCAACATAATGGATGCAGTAAACAAGCGCACAATGCTGCCCACAAGTCTGACTGACATTGCGCCTCACAAGCCGAGCAGAGCGGCACCCAAAATGCCCACTTCACTTTTACGATCGATGACTAAAGTAAACCCACTGACGTACGTCAGACCCCGGCCTCCCTCCTCTCCATTCGTTCACATATTCCACATCTGTCGAATGCCACATCCGCCTATAGATTGGTTCAATCTACCTCTGTCACATACATAATACACGACTCTATCGGAAATAATGCCACAAGATCCCGCCGTGGAGTACCACGCATGACACACACGCACACATACACATCATCTATCACATAGTCTAACAGACAGCCGACCGACTAGTGAGGCAGTTGCCATTTCTCACGCGGATAGTCCCGGGTGAGACGGTCTATCACCTCCGACCTCCTTGGCCAGTCTTTCACAACCAGTCAGAAGGTCGAGTCAAATTATCAGGTCACCAATTGACTAACGTGCTTCTCGGTTCATCGGTGCATTGACACGTTGACTAACACAGAGACCGGTAGGATGATGCTGGCTCTGAGCCTCACCAGTCAAGTCCTATCACATCAAGTCACCAGATGTCCCCACTGGTCACCAACACGCCTAGCCAGATCACCACAGAGAGGTCACCACTGATCACCGAGCCCTAAAAGGTCCCCAGCAGTCAGTAACGCTCACCGTTCGTCCCCGGAACACATCCCTCCCTTCACGAGTCTCTCCGAGCTATCACCAGAGTGGTACGACAGCCGCCGCGGCCGACCACGCCGCCCCCGCTACCGCCACCATCATCCTCCACTGCACCACCGTCGAGGCGATGAAGAACAGATGGCGCAACAGCCAGGCCGCCGGATCGTGTCGAATTCGGCGGGGCGGAGGTACAGGCGAGCGGCCGCCGTGTTTCTCTGGAGGTAGCGTGGGCATCTTCCCGGTGCGGTAATACTCGTCCAGCTGGGCCTCTTTGTCGAAGAACAGCTGGTAGAGCCAGGTGGTGAGATCCTCTGGGTCCGTGGGAACCTGCAGACAGAGCAGTGGGGCTGGTTACAGGGATGGAAAGAGCGAGATAGCGTAGATGAGGCGGTTGGACATGTCCCAAGGGTCGTTAGGTTGGACGAAAAACAACAGCCACTCGGCATACAAATGTCGCCCCTCACATGTTCAACATCATTATCCACTATCCAGACCTTTGACAGGCATGTTCCTCTTTATTTACTACCAAGCTAGTGCTCAAAAGTGGGGAAATATGGGCGTGAAAGAATCACCCAGGAGACATTTTATCATTCTGCTAAGCTACAATTTTGTTCTCAATTCTCTATATAACTTAGGAGTACAGTGTAAGTGTACAGTGTAAGCCTGGAACAAACACAGGCGGAGAGGACATTTTACCTGGTCGCTGCGGTACACCCTGTAGTAGAAGTAGAGTTTACAGGGCGGCCGAGAGCCGGCCATTACAGCCATCAGACCGAGCGGGTCGGCCTGGTCCGGGTAGGCCACCGTCAGGTCTACCACCCACTTCACGCGCCGCTCCGAGACGCTGTCACCTGGAGAACGGTGGTGAGGTCAGCCTCAGCGGGCGGTGATGGGGTGACGAGGGTCACAGGTCAGCTGAGGGCGACGATGGGGGCAGCCAGTGGGTACAGCAAACCCGTGATACACCTCGAACAGGGCTGAGCACAGTCAACATCACACAGTAACATCAAATTAAGCCACCCTAATCGAGTTAATAAAAAAAATAAGACATCAAACCTAAAATTTCATAAACAATACGTCTATCTCAAGACCCCTGTGAGCCGAGACTGTACTCTAAATGGCACCCGTCCCCCCGACTCACCCTGTCCTCCGCTGGTCTCTGCCGCCGCCGCCGGCGGGCCGTGCCCGTTAGGCCGTTTGTCCACCGTCGGCTCTGGCGTCGTACCCGAGCCTCGTAGGTCGAGTACCGCCCTGGCGGCGCCCACCCTAGGCAGACTGACCCGCTCTAGATGAGGCAATCCGTTCTTTTCGGCAAACCTGAGGATCAGCGAGAGGGAGGGGTTAGCGATAGGCACAGCAAAATAGCGATAGCACAGCCGGATAGGCACACAAAACGTCGACAGGCCGGGGCCCTGTTTAAAGGCACGCTGCCAGCCGCTGCCAGCGCATTTCGCGAGCTGACGTCACACTTGTGGTAGTGTTGGAGCAATGGGCTTGTTAATGTCTCCATGGAAACCAAAATTGCCACGTGTGCTGGCAGCGGCTGGCAGCATGCCGTTGCAACACCGCCCGGGAGGGGGTTTGGCAGGCGCTACCCAGAACGCGCGCATGAGGAGTCTGCTACAGCGAGTTTAAGTAATGTGATTAACCATCTTTCTCTCAGTGTCGCGGGTCGTGATGAAAAGATCTCTCACCTTTGACTAACAGGCTTCCTGTTTTTGAGGAAGCCTCCCTCTGGGAAGAGCAGGATCCACTTTCTGTTCAGGCCCACGTAGTCTTTGATGAGCGCGCTACGCAGCAGCTCAACGGAACGATCCCGCTTTTCTCGTCCCTGTTGGTGAAAGACGAGAGTCACACGGCGTTCCCACGGGGGTCGGGGGTAGGGTCGAGGGCCGACAGTGGGCCATTGAACTGATGGAGGACGCAAATCAAAATGGGTGGCAGGACAAAGAGCACACTGTGGGCCATTTGGAGCGGCGGAATCGGTACGTGCTTTCGCCCCAATATTCAGCCATCAAAACGGCTCGTTAACACGCATGTGTGATTATGTATCGGTTATCTTAGAAGCTATTAAGCCCAATCGATCTCTCTCTGCACCAGTAGGCTTATCTATGAAAACAAGCTATCAGGGAACTGAAACCGCCATACTCATTAACTGCTGAACCACATCTGAGCTGGTACGCCAGTCAAGCCATCCGCTATACCGCGTGCCTACTTAACATTTGCATCATCCGTCAGTTTCATTTCCAATTCTAATGAATTCGGCAATCGATTCGTGTTACGTAACACGCATGACGACCGCAGACACCTGAATAGCCAGCCACGCGAGTTTACATGGCTTCGCGACCTTCCTATGTCTGTCAGCAACTCGCACGTTGCGAAGTCCCGGTTGGTAACCATTCGGAGGAATTCGCAACTCCGTCTGTGACCTCAGGAAGCCCATGGGCCCGAATATTTCCTAAACCATCAGAGTATTTGTTTACAACGTCTTAAGAATGAGTTCAACACACACTTCTCGAAAGAGTTTCACTCTCCCAAAAGGAGTAACCCCGTCGCATACTCACACACTCAATGAAGAAATCCCTATGGATCTGCGAGACGACACCAAAGTTGCTCCACTTGAACTGGACGTCCATGATCCACATGGCGTTGTCGGCGGCGCGTCCGTGCGCGGTCAGCATGTTCATTAGCACCGGAACGTCGGCCGTCGACTGGTGGTTCACGATAAACAGACAGTTCTCCTGCTCCAGATGGTCGATCCGGTCTCCCATCTCAATCACTACAAGGAGAGAGAAACGGGGTCTTTTAATGGAGGGACAACACACAACTCGGAGCCAACGTCGCTAAATGGAACAGAAAAATAACATAAAGCGTTTAAAGCGACAATGCGATGTAAAGCGATCAAATAACTCACCGACTTATAATAGCTACGACAGAAGCAGAACGAATTATATTGCATTCAACTTTTTACTGTTTTAGAGAACAATTGATCAGTAAGCAATGATCACACTAAGCAGAAGTAAATAGTGCAGATGGCGTTTCATTATAGTATTTTTTCGTTGCAAGTTAAACTTGAGGCCCCCTGGCAACTTCAGCAGCCATTTTCCCACCATCGCCCACCGTTACAGTTCAATGTAGGAGGCACAAAGGGTCCCAAGCCGTGCAATGCCCCCCCCCCCCCCCACCCCCGCGGCCTGCCGCCACTTACCATCATAGCCGGCCGTGTAGCTGAGCATGGCGACCATGTGTAGCAGCCAGCGGAACAGCACGCCCTCTATCCTCCAGTAGAGCTCTGGGGCCACCCATAGCAGCGGCCGCAGCAGGAACATCCACACAGTGTACGACGGAATGCAGTACAGGTTGTTCAGCAGGAACAGCAACAGTCGTAACGCGCATTTCCCGTAGTGGGCACATCTGGAACAGAATGAGATGAAACACGGTTAGAACTCAGAAATCAGTGGATTGCCAGGTAAGAAGTCATTATTTTACACTTGAGTGATGCAAGCTAGAACTAATTACTCCGCGCCTGTGAAAGAGAATATCAAGAACAAATTAAAATCCATATACTAGCAGCGAGGCTTGTTCCCGAAACCCGTAATCTTACTATCTTCTTAATCACCATTTATCAGGGAAGTTTAAGCTCGCACACCCTAACACAGAACCAGTTTTCTTCTGTTAGTGCAAAACAAAAAGTCATAGTTTGTTGACAACTAAGCGCAGCTCGAAGGTAAAGGAAAAGGTCGCCCTGCATAGTGCATACTGTCTAGCATAAACGTCGCACAGTATCGAGGGCGAAGGTACCCATGGATTCAACATCACAGTAATTATGCATGTACCAGTAATTAATTATGTATGTAATTATGTACGTACAGTGTACATTGTACATAGCAGAAATATCGCAACGGCTGAGGCACGCATTTCCCATTAGCGCCAAACTTGCCAGAACGCAGCGCCGACAGCACACTGACATTGTTGGACGCGGCGGGAAATGCTGTATCAATAATTCACCCTGATTGGTTCACGTGCCGTCACCAGAGCATCGAACGGCCCGTGGTTGGCTGCGCTAATCACTGGAGCTGGCACGGCAACCGCGGGACTCTCCGGGACTGGGATTGGATGATGAACGCTGACCAACTCCGCAGGGAGAGAGAGAGTAGCATAGTGAAGAGAGCAGGAGAGCGACGAGTCAGCTGAAACATAGCCAAATTGACGAGGAAAAGGGACGACAGTGGCACGAACAGCTGTGACCGAGAATCGATGCAAGGAGGAAGTGAGGCATGGTGGGACCATTTGATAGGAAGGCGGGAACAAAGAACCATTACAGGAAGGCAGGCAGGACCATTATAGGAAGACAGGAAGAGCATGACGACAGACAGCCCCAGCACATGCATCATCGGATACTCAAATAGCCTATCAAGGCTGGTTCTGAGTTCCGTGCGCTATATCACGTAGACCTAGCTGGTACTGTAAATGGGTTACGGTACGGCCACAAACTACGATCGCTGAATAAGATAAGCCACAACTCGTTGAGAACATGGTACAGGATCACAGTCGACATTATCTTTCATTGCCACGACTCGATCCTGTGACATGTTATGATGCGCCTTGCCGTGTTATATGTAATTCGTCTTGTTGAAGGTATCGTGGCGTGTTATGTCATATGGTTATACTCGGTACCTATGTCGTGCCACACCTTGCCGTGCTGTGTCCTGTGCCGACCAGCCACAGGTGATGTGGTGTGTCGGCACCGGTGATAAATCTCAGTCCATTGTAAGAGCAGCACTCCCGGCTCTGCAACGTCAAAACGGCAGCACATACACTGCTTTACGACTGACACTAAAAGGCCGTGGTGTGGTGACCTTTGGAATATGTGCCAGGCTTTTGTAGTTCATACACAGGTTTTCGCTTCCCATGTTTGTCCTGGGAACCCATAAATTTTGGATGAATAATAAAAAAGGGTGGTTGTAAGATTGATGGGTTAATCTAATTATTACGAAAATTATTCCTACATACCGATACATTTCCCCTGAAAGGTTGACACATGCTGCCTCACTCACTGCCCCTCCCCTGAAACTACCAGCCAAGGAGCAGCAGGCACGAAACCCGAAATGATGCATTCAAAGGGACCTTGGTTCAAACCACTGCAGCCGGATCTAACTGGTTGAGGTATCCGGCATCGCCTCCCCACTCGCTGCTGTGAGCCGCACCGGCTCGTAAGTCACGTGCCGTTTTTATGCTGCGTCACAGGCACGAAGGCGTGAAACCAGGGACCACAAAGCAAGTCAGCCTCACCAGGCAATCGTTAGGCGGAGGCACGCCCTCTTCCACTGCCCCTCCAACAAGCTCAATACAGTCACGAGAGGCCTCTCAAGACGAGGCCCTCAACTCTCTGAGATGAGATAACGAGACACTTATCCACATAAAATTAAAGGAAGACACATGACTACGCATCGGTGCACCAAGCTAAAAGTAGTTAGACCATTAAACTCATACGCTTTACCGAGTGCCCCCACACATGTCGAGTGACGCAAGACATCGAACCTTACCCTGAACTTAAACTTTGACACGCCACGGACTTTGGTCTTAAGTGGCCCTATACTCGGCAGACGTCCACACATCAAGGCCACAATGCGGCCTGGCCTGGCCGCAGGCGAGTGCACTTCTCGACCTATTGCGCCATCAGACCGGATATTTCGCGTTAAGTTATGATGCCACCCATGACCCTGAGGCTTCCTCAGGCAGCCGACGTGTCAGTTTCCGGCAGCTGCAGTTTCAGCTTCAGCACGCATGGCGTGGTGCAGAATAGACCATAATGCTGATTAGTTGACCGCGATGCATGCCGTAATGATAAGTTGTTGCCGGGGCTCAGTTTGGGTTTCACTGAAATGGAAACGTGAGGTCTTGACTAATAACACTAGCCAGCCCTGAGCCAGGCACTGTAATTGGTCACAACACTGCCCTGTGATATTTGCATTGTTCAATATTTTCCAGAACACATACCGCCTCCCCGTCCTCTCATGCCGCGCCTCATCGTCCCGTCCAATCGTGCCGCCCCACGTATAGCGTGCGGTTTTCAGCACCACTAAGCCGGCTAGGACCGCCCGTGGTCGTTCCAGTCAATACGCCTGACCGAGGCACCGTCCGCCTAGCTGGCCTGCTAGCGAGCGGGCGCCTACCACGCGACCGCGGCCGACGGCACGAGGGGTATCCGTGACCCGTCCCCGAACCGGTGACAACCGGTGACAACCGGTCCCATCAGCTCCCCCAATCAGGCCGGACCACTATCGAATGTTTGCCGCCCATCGACCTCGTGTGGCTAACGAACGACAGAAGACACGTCCGGTAGCTCGTCCGGCGTCAGAAGCTAGGGCACCCAACGGTAGGAGCCATGTCAGGCCATCCAACGCCTAGAGCTAGGCCAACCGGTATCCAACGATAGGAGCTAATCAATCAAAATGAAGGAGTCAGACTATCAAATGATAGTAGCCAGGCTCTTCACTGATAGTAGCCAAGACACTTAGCGATAGCAGCTAGGATATTCAACGATAGGAGTCAGGCCATCCAGCGGTAACAGCTCGACCATCCAGCGCAAACAGCAGGGCTATCTAGCCGCAGGCCATCCCCGCGCAACCTGACACCGATCGATATGCTGAGTCAGACCGCTAATCAGGGTCATTAGCATTAGCCAGACCAGAAGTCCTCATTATTTTACCCCGTAAAGACGACGGCGCAAGCTGACACCACAGGACCATAACTCCAAATAAGGAAGTACCGGGGCTCTCTGCGATGATTTTCAGCTATGTCGGCCACATCACCATGGCAATAGCGCGGCATCCTCCGACCAATGTCGATCCAAGTGGCGCGGAAAGAACCACATGTGGTCAGCCAGTGTCGGTGTGCCGTACAAAGGCGATGGCTCACACCGCCAGCTGCGCCGCGGAGAGCTGCATCAGCCGGACAGAAGCCGCCCTACACGGGTCAGCAATCACGGGGAGAATCCCCAGAGGCGTGTGCACTCGGCCGAGAGAGCGACAACAAAGCGCTGCAGCAGGATCAAAGTGAGGTGGAGGAAACTAATACGAAACGATGTAAGCATCAAGAGAGCACAGGCAAGCGCAATTTCACAAATTACAACGCAGCCCTAAGAAAACAGTAGCGTTCTCTATCAGTCTGCTCGTAATAGAAAGCTGCCGGTCGGATTGCTTGTTCAAGATCTGAACGGAAACGAATAAACGATTATTCGTCTGCATCTACTATCATAGTCTCACAAAAAAGCCACATGGGAGCACTATCACGCATCCATCCCGATCGCCCCTGATCTGCATTCCATCCCCAATCATCACTCCCACCGCCCTCCGGCGTTCCACCCGGCACCCACACGTCCCACCCTCTCCCGTCGCTCCTTTATCACCCACCATCACCGCGCCGGCCATCGGTCACGTGACACTACCGGGGACCCAGTGACGTCACCCATCATCGGTCATCCTTGGCACCGGTGACGTCACACACAATATCGATCGCCAGGGGTCAGCGGGGACTGCGGTTAGGCGTGTGGTTTCGCCCTGCCAGAAACCAGGCCGGGCGCGGAATGCTCGCCAAAGTGTACCTAATTCGAAGCGGTAGATTCGTAGACCGGAAGCATGCGTTAGTTTGGCAGGGTTAAGGGTAACTTCTCTGGCATGAATTACAGAAGCAGCGACAGAGAGATGAGCGACGTGAGGTTGAGCGGAATGGGAGACGAACTGGCTCAGCAAGGGCGGGGATCCCACTCCATGTGACCATGGGTATCATTGGTGGCCCAGATATGTAATGTTTACCCTCCTTGCGAGCAGGAAAAAAAAATACTATAACATTCACTGATTTTCGGCATTCAAAAAACGTCTTAGACCTTCAGAAAATAAACCGAACAAGTTCTTTTAGCTCAAGAGCGAAGAACTTGGCTTCCTAGATGAGCAAGCTGGAATACCACTCCCCTTAATTATCGTGCAAAGCTCCCATCGAGACCTAATCGCCTTAGCTCCAGGATAAGTGGCAGCTCAGACGTCAGCGACTGGCACTGCGGTAAGTCCCTGGGCATCTCCATTACCTCAAGTCGGCTGATAGCTCACAGAGTCCCACTGCAACATTACGCACAGACTGGCACAGAAAGACCAGCTAATACCGTCTAATGCACTCTCCTGATCGAGAAAAAACGACAGAGAAGCGGAGATATGCGAGCAGACTGCATGATGAGGCTTTGATAGAGAGGGGATGATCTGGCTGGAGCAGGCCGGCAGGACTGTCAGCATGTCATTAAGTAGAGTTCTACCTATTAGGCTGAGACCAAGAGCCTGAGACCAGGAGCCTGAGACTAAGATCCTGTGACCAAGCGAAATAATGTCCAATAATGCCCAATGTCCAACCCTGGAGTGCCTGTCGCTCGCCCCTCTCCTGTGGGTCGACCAAAGGTCCGCCGAATACAGCTGAAAACCCATCAGAAACTTGGGCTGGACGAGGAAACTTTGGACACCCGGCGAGAAAGTGCCGCAATATGAACTTCCGCAGTGGCTATTAAAGCCACCTCTGCACTTAAATTCAAAAGATAAATTGTCCCGAAAAGTGGACATGGTGAAGCGAAAAAAATGACCTCAATGACAACCACGTAAGCGTACTGATAAATTCTTTAGCTACCTACGAGTATACTATAAATTATCTGGGTAAGAAACGAGAATGCATGGTCAATATCGATGACAAAAATGTGCGTTGCTCCAATTATCTACCTAAGGCAAGCTAGATCCGTAGACCCCATGGTAAAATGATGGACATAAACCAGGGATCCTACCAAGACTACTTTACTACACTGTAATAGACCCTACGACAAAATATGAACTATCTAACTTAACAATACCAATTATCTATATATTTTACATCAAACACAAAATGCATCGCATTATAGCGTTTTATCGGGATATAGGATCAAAAGGATCTCAACGAAGGTACATTGAACAAGCTGGATCCAGGATTCATTAAAACTTAACCCTCGCCCTGGCAGGGCATTTTTCATAACACGGCCTGGCAGGGGGGGGGGGGGTCGATGCGACCCCCCCCCCCCTCGCGATTGGCTCCTATGGCACCTAGAAACACCAAATTTGGTAGGTAGGTGGGCCCCCAGGAGTTCTCGCTACTGTGCAAATTTGGTTGCTCTAGGTCAATATTTAGGGGGGTTTTGGGGGGTATAAATGTAAAAATTTCGCTAAAAACAGGGCAAAAGTTTTTCGCTTATAACTTTTGATCTAATTAAGATAGAGCAAAAAGAGAAGCACCAGTGAACTAAGCACGTCAAGACGCGTCGAATGATGTACTTTTTAGCTTGCTTAAGTGTACTTAAAGTTTTTCTTAAATTTTAAGTAAACTTAAATTAATAAATTAAGTTCAAGTTAACCAAATTGCATCATATCGCATATCATTCGATTCGGCTGATCACCAGGAACACAATGATACCATTTTTTAAGCTCTAGCGTCAATATGTGCCAAGTTATTGGCAAAAACGTCATTTGACCTCAGTTGACCTCATATGACCTGACCCATGGATAAGTACACCAAACAAAGAAGCACCAAGTGACCTGCTGTTAAGTACTGTGGTTTCAAAGCACAAAAGTGATAGAACAAAGCGGATATCTCCAGTATTTTCCGAATTTAGTATTTTCCCATAGGCTTAACATTACGACGTAATGACCTCTAACTGACCTCAGCTCAGTGACCTCAAAAAACCCGAACTATATGTTATACAACTCGGTGAATTTAGCACATCCTGAAAGTTTGAAGGAAATCAGTCCAAAACTGTGAGTTGGACGGGTGCAAAAAGAAAATTGAAATTTGACCATGACCTTGTACCGGTTTTTCTGACCTGGTGACCTGACCCAAGGTCACTCGGACCTGAAATTTTCAGGTCATATGTAAAAAGGTTGCCCCATAGGCTGTGCCAAATTTGGCGGCGCTGCGCGCCGCCGTTTTTACGCTATCTTCGAAAAACCTTAGGGGGAGGGTCGCATCGACCCCCCCCCCCCCCTGCCAGGGCGAGAGTTAAATCCCATACAAAGCTCAATGGAATCGGACACCCTTTTTAGTCACGCAGGTGGCTGTCCAATTCTCATTCGTCTTAGTCTTAATTTTTACGACCCAACTAATGCCCCTGTCGAAGAATGGATAGGGTATCCCCTTACGACCACCACTGATGCTGATTAAATCGATTAAGCAAAAGTCAGGACGATCGGGCCGATATTGAAGAAAGGGAGACCATAATCCGAAATAATTCACTTCCTTCGCCAGAGAAAGCCTGGCTCTGGTCCGGTAAAAAGGACAGAATCTATGTAGAGCGCAAGGCAGCAGCGGAAATACACAAAGCAGTGGCAAGAGGTATTGCTCCTATGGTCTTTCTTTATGCGCTGTGAATTGTAGCAACATCAATTCTTGGAGTGGTTTTGGTAGAGTACTAAACTGCAAATTTGTCTGGATCAACTATTGTAAGACTATGCAGGGATCAGCTAATCCATGGAAGGTAGTGCAACCTTCAACAAAACCCAGGGGATTAAACTCACAATAACATTTATCAACTGAAGGGGATTCACAAAAGATCCCTAATCGTACGTCTAGCACTGCCTCCACTAAATTCACCCGTCCTTCAGCACCGGCGACAGGCCATCAGCACATCCCACTCAACTCACCTCTGTAGTAAAGGCGCCATGATGTCCGGATATCCCCGCGCCGGGGCGGGCCGTGAGCCGTCCTCAGCAGTCTCTCCGTCCGCCGGGACCACGCCTCGGCCTGGTGTCCCGCCGGCGCCGCCCGCCGAACTGCACCAAAGGACAGCACACACGCTGGGTCAGAGCCGGCGCCTGCCCGGGCATGGCCGACGCCGCATCGATCGTGTCGGCTCCGACGGCGTCACCGGCGGCAGTCGCCGGGATGCCGGGGACCGGCGACGGCGGCTGGACGGCCGAAATGGCGAGGGAGGTTTTATCAGGGGAGGGGGAGGGAGAGAGATGGGTGGCAGCTTCCGTTCAGAGGGAAACAAGCATTGTGGGGATAAACGTGAGGATGACAAAACGGGCTTATGTGTTTCGCATTCGCAAGTCGCAACATAAATTTACAACATGATTTTACCAGGACCAGTTATAATCACAAAGTGCGAGAAGCATTACCAATGAAATCATCTAAATATGGATCACCAGAATCAGATCATATAAAACGTTCCAGGTAAATAAAGTTAAGTTCGACATTTAATTGTCACACCTCTGGCATGCTAATATCCGGTTTCAGTCCATGGGCACTGCAGAGATATGTTTCCTCAGTTACAAGCTGAGGCACCGTTCCCAGACCCGGAATTAACCCGAGCTGTCGGAAATAGGTCGCCGTGGATAGCTGGTCACATTGAAAGCAGCCAGCCGGAGGCCCAAAAGTGGCCACCCGGACCTCGATAATAGCCACTCGGGACTGAACGATCGGTATTGGGCGGACGCCAGCAGCGAGGAGCGCTGAAAAGGGAGCTGGCAAACTGATTCCGTCCGTTCACATACATCACAATTGGTGGAGGTAGGAGTCACCACCAACAATCGCATGCACCACACAGCAGCGAACGTAGCGCTGAATTTAATAACAGCACGCATTGATATACAGAGGTCCTGGCGAGCTCTTCTGTGACTGCACTTTGCCGGTTGAAGTGACACACGCTAAGTAACGCCCCGGCGAGAGGAAAATGCGTGCCCAGTGTCCACGCGGGCCGCAGGAGGCGAGTCCGGCCGGCGGCCACCGGCATCATGTGGGAACGGCGGTGAATTTCAGTCACCCCCGTCGTTTCCGTGTGGGAACAGGAAAGGTGCCGAGACCATCCGAACTCATACAGCCGCGAGGAACCCGACCAGAGCGCTCTACACGCTGTCAGAACACCAGGCCTCCGGCTAAAGTGTATAGCATTTAGCCTTCGATGAGCGGCTGAGCGCACGAAACACTTACATTAGGAAGATAAGGTATCAAGGTGCGGATACAACACCATCTCTGACGTCCGGAGCCCGGGACACGCCCACAAGGCACAGCCTGTCTGATACAAGGATAGAACAGTCGCTGCCTGACACGAAATCCGTATTACCAAACACGCAAAACAAGATGGCAAACACAGCGAAAAGGATGTGTTTGAGGACTGCACGGCGTACACTAAAAATCCATTGACGTAGGACAGATAGGAAACCCCAAAACGATGAATGCAAGTTCTTACATTAGGTACATTAGGTAATAGGTATACACTTTACATTAGGCATACAAAACACAGGCAAAGATAAAAAGGAGAGCTTATCCAATGCGGAAAGAATATTGCTACCAAAATAATGTACCCAGTAGTATTGAAGTGAGCTAACCTTGTCTTCACTCCGCCGACCGCCGCTATGGCGAGCTTCCCACGCCCTTCCTCGCGCCGTCGTGATCTCACACTGCGGCCCGCTCGAGCCTCACCCGCGAGGAGTGCACCGAGAGCACCGAATGACGACCCTTGACCGAGGCACACACCACCGCTGCACCACTGGGGCCAGGCGAGCGCGGCGCGTGCCTCTGACGGACCCTGGTCGCCGCACCGACACCGCACGGCTCAGAGACCAAGGTCACGGGCTACACCGTCCACCCACGGCGGGCGCAGGGGGGCGGAGGCGGAGGCGGGGGCGGGGGCGGGGTGGAGGCGGGGCGGGTCCCGCTCAGCGACTACCGCTCTCGGAGATGGTCAGAGCCGCAGCCAGAACGGCACCCACCTGGAGACAGTAGCACAGTACGGGAGAACGGCCGGAGTGGAGCCGGGGTGAACACAACTCCTGCTACTGGCGACCGAACACTACTGTCACTGGTTACCGGGCTGGCCAAGGCCACCGGATCGGGGAAAACGGACCGCTCGCCGGCACGGCGGACACACAGCACACAGGATATATCGGGGGACCAGTAACACACAGGGCAGACGGACGGACCAGGGACAGAGAGGACAGGCTATACGGACCAGTCTGAACTTCCGACATAGCGGCAGGCTAGCTTGAGCCCAGAAACCGGCAGGCTATTCTGAGCCCAGGCGGAATGGCAGCATATTCTCGGGCCAGGACAGACATATTGATTATCCTTAGTCGAAACAGACTGGCAGACTATACTCAGCTCAGTGAGACTGGTAGATGAATCCCATTTAGAGCGAACGGTTGACTAACTTCAGACCGGACAGGCCGGCAGAACCAGTCCTAATCCATGACTGGCCGATGGACGGCGGCGGATCAGTTCCATTCGCCGTTCCCCAACTGAGCCGGTGACAGTCACAATGAAGGTCAACTCGGCCACTCGCCGGCCTGACTAATCCGCTGAATGAAGATGGAGCTGGAGAGTGCGCAGGCAATGTCAAAAAGACAGGCAAAACCTACACTCGCTACACAACATAAATCTTTTGCACGGCTTACCGCATAGAAGGTAATCGAGCCGATATGAGGACAACAGTTTATTCCACCGGTAAGCAACCGGCGTCTTGGAGAGAAGGAACATTGAACGTATTCCCTCATCACAAATTGTACGGCTCACCTCCGAAACGAAAAGCCAGCGACAGTCGTCGATTCAAATCACTCCGCAACTGGCGAACGAGGGCTACGATAGACTCAGGATTGCATTGCAGCTCTTCGAGCTGACCCAGCCCGAGCCCCTACCCAGGTAGGTACTCCAGTAGGAGTGACAACATCCGATCCAGGGCTGAAGAAGATCGCTCCCAAAATCTATGGCGAGTAAAAGCTGAAAATATCACATCACAATGGTCCCATGCTTTTCTGAAAGGCCATTCAAGCCTTTCTAAGCTGAAGACCTTAGTCGTTGGGGTCCTTTGGTAGTGTGAGAGTCGCTCCCCAGGCTGAGAAGGCAATATTGGTGTGTTGGGTCGCATGCTGGTCAGAGAGGATCTCAAACTGGTCTGAGAAGGTTCAGGTGTGTTGTACTCAAAAGGGGCGAGGGCACATAACGGTATGGATTGCCTCAGCCCCCACAAAATCTCCATTCACCAGCCATGATCTGACATGTCCTGGATAGGGGCATTTATATGCCACAGATCATGTTTGCCATGTAGGTATATCAATGCCACAACAGATATTGTAGGTTGTAGGTTGGCTGGTTGCGTTGTTGGTTGGTTGGTTGGTTGTAGGTAAGATAAGGTCAGGTTAGATTATGTTTTGTTTTATACTAACTGTGAAAAGACATTTGTGATGCTCTTGGGAGTTGGGACATGGCATATTTCATATACACCAATCCTGGATTACCTACCTATTTATTCTTCCTAAATCCTAAGCATGCCAGTACTTATTGAAAATTGATGGTAAGGACTTCTTAGCAAATTTCCAAATAAGACCAGTAGCAAACAAGCAAAAACATTTTTTTTCAAATATCACTGTCATATGAAAATATTCCCCCCTCCCCCACCCAAAACCCCGATTCCCCACATTTCCCATAGTGTGTTGGGCTAAAAAAGGGTACTATGTTTTAGCGTAGATGTTTCGCAACAGCTGACTGCAGGTTCTCACGACAGCTGACATGTTGAAAACAAACTGTGGCTGGAAATCATGGCGAGATCACAGTAAATTTGTTATAGCTGGAAATTATTGGTCAGATTAACTGCATGACACCGTATTGTTACTAAACACGAGTTTCTCTATAGAATGATGTCTATATTATAGGAATTAACATGTCTGAACCAGGACAGGTGGACAATATGACCACACTTTTCATTTTGGAATTTGCAATATTATTTCATTCAACGCTAGGAATAGCGCTGCATGAAGTCAATGCAGCAAATGCAAGCTCAGGCTAGACTCGCAAGTCGCAACAGACCCTATGTAATGTAAACGCGGCTATACTCTGCTCCATTCCCAGCTTGTGGCCGAAGTGCCTTGCTGAAAGCATCCATTTTGATTTCTGTATATACAGCTCTTACTTCAAATCAACATTCAAAGATGCAAAATTGTGAACAGAGGAGCAATATGCCGAAGGAACTCCGACCACAAGCTTGATATGGGGCAGGGAACAGAGTATAATCCCCAAATTATCTCGCCAAATCCCACACCAAAACTGTAAGGCTTACGACTGCCGGCTACGTTGTAGCCACTAGCCATGTGGTCCGGGTGGCCACCATGTAGCGGTAACTTACCTTACTTACGAGTTACGACGAATCCACTTACGATTTACGCCTTACGATATACGATGCAAGCTTGATTACAATAAACGGGTTAACCCATCTGTATTTAGGGCCTTGACTACAATCTAAAGAAAACAGCAAGCCAAAAAATGAGCAAGCTGAAGCCGCAGACCTATCGGTAAACAACAAGCAAAACAACAAGCATATTTTTTGGAAAAAGATGATATTTATTGGCTATATATGATTATCAGCTCTTGTCACTATTTTTACTTTCTTATGACTATAACGTTTATAACATTCCCAAATATAGGTTTACTAAATATCACTTTCTAGCTGGTTCGCTTCTAGACAAAAACTGTTAATTACCTGTATTGTATTTATTATAAATCCGTTCACAATCGATTTAGTTCTTAAGATCTGATTCCAGTAAAATTATATTTTTTTTACATTTAGTGCTATCTGCAGTGTCTGGTGCTGTCTACGAAAAATAGATTCTGATTGCTCAATGCTATTTGTACATTCCACGAGCATAGGACATCTTTTTCATTGCTGCTTTATTATTCGCTCATCAACCCATTTGGTATTTACACAGGCCACTTGTTATTGAAAAAATACTTGAAAATTTTGAAGATTTTCAATTGCTGCTTTGCATCAAACATATTTAGTGATATTTGAGACATATAGGAAATGCACAGGAATAGGCGTATGTGACGCAGATGTTACGAAAAATGACTCAGCTTTGTTTACTGAGTCGCTTGCTGAGTCAGAACCAGGGGGGTACGCTCCGGCTGTTTAGCATAACAAAAAATGGTGACAGACGTTTGTGGAGGATTGTCGACGAACTCTTGTTCCGCGAGCAGTACTTACACGCTAGCGGAAAATTCACCAATCAGCGCTCGGCAGTACTCGACGTTGATTGGTCCGACGCTCGTGACGAAATTGCGGGGGACCGCAGTTATTCTCTATGGACCCGAATAGGCTTTTGGATTTCGGAGGAGTTTTTTTAAAATTATATGCTGTTTGGAGCTGTTTTCGAGTTGAAATATATTTCTTATGACTGTTAGCTATATAATGACACCATAAAATCATGATTTTAATAAATATTACCGATGTAATATCGGCCGAAAAGACATGCTGTCATGGCACGGACTGCCGTGCGGCTGATGTGGGGCCCCTAGTGCCAGCGTATGGTAATAATGGGTTGACGAAGGGTTATTGGAGAAACTTAGAGCCCCATCAGCATTCAGTATAGGGTCATCAGAGGCCGGGAATGTCCATCAGGGGTCTGAGTAGGCCTGTCATAGGGGCATACATGACACATCATGGCCCATGGGTCAATGTAGATCCATTAGGGGCCGTTGAAGGGCCATCATTGTTCAGCGTGGGCTCGCAATTACCTCTGATGGGCATATGCCGTGCCCCGATGGACTAACGCTGGCCCCTGATGAACCATCACCAGCCCCTGATAGGTCTACAAAGCCCCCTGCTGGGTCCAAATTGGTCACTGATATGCCCAAATGGGCCACTGAGAAACCCGTACAACATCCCCTGACTGCACCTGCTGGACCAATGCCGTCCCCTCATGGGCCCACCACAGCTCTTGAATGACCTTTTCAAGTCCCCTGAAGTGCCTTTATTGGCCTAAATGGCCCCTGATTGACTTATGTGGTCCCTATTGGTCCTATATGGCCTCCATGAGCCCTCAACGCCCCTAGACAGCCTTACCTTATATTCCAATGGGCCCTGTTGGGTCAGCACCGGCCCCTGATAGGCTTGCACTGGACCCACCGGGCCTATACCGACCCATGAAGGGCCTATGTCGAGCCCTCATGGACCTCCGATGATCACACGCCGACATGTGTGGCCCCATCAGCAGTGGTCCGTCTATCCCATGTACTTACGGTCTTTTTGGCCGATGTGACACCGGTAGTATATAGAAATGTTATGATTAAATGTCGTTATTACACAGTCAAAAGTCACAGAAAGAATATCCAAGCTCAAAAATGGCCTCAAACCCAACAAAAACTGGTATAAATCCCCTTCAAAAGCCGTAAGTCTATTAAACGCCATAGGGGAATAGCTACAGTCCCCCGCAATTTCGTCACGAGCATCGGGCCAATCAGCGTCGAGTATTGCCGAACGCCGATTGGTCAATTTCCGCTAGCCTGTAAATGCTGCTTGCGGATATAGTTTTGAACAAGTGAGGGTCGCGGCTACTAATTATCGCTTGTCACCACTTTTTCGTCGGGAACGTTCTACCAGAGGGCTGTTCACGGACCCTGTGTGCGGTCGGACCGCACACAGCCTCCAAGCTCCGCCCACTGCGTCCCTACGTCAGCCTTGCGTCACCGCACACAGCGACCGCTGTGGCCGGTCGGGACTGGCCACAGCGGACCGTCCACCGCACGCAGCCGTGACGTCAGAGCCGCCTACCCATCCCCTACCCCCACGCCTGCTGGACGTACCGCACACACCGCACGCAGCAGTGTGCGGTGCCCGTGAACACCCCTCTGGTTTATATAGCCTTGGTCAGAACTCAGAGTCGGAGTGAGTCAGAGTTGGGTTGTAAGGTGTGCGTTCGATGCGTCGTGTCAATATCGTGTGAAATTTGGTGTCTTGATTGTTTTTGTCACTGTTATAACTAAGTCCCACAAGGCTAAAAACGTTAGACTTATCCAAAACCCTATTGCTATGCGGGGTCACGTTTCCCATATGTCTCGGTTTACGTGGATGACCCCTGGAAGCGGTGCAGTGCAGCATCCAAATATTCGCGGACAACACCAAGAACTACTGACCTCTCAGCGGCCCTACAGACCCAGACTGGAAAAAATACATGTTATGCCGGATATGTCCGGCATAATGGCTGGATTGCGCCGAAAATTTCCACGCACGTCTGGCATAACTTCACATGCGCCGAATTCTCTTTACACGGAGGCGTTGATCTGGATCATGAACTATTTGTTTCACCAGCTGCCACTTGCCCCACCCGAGGACACCATGAAAGCTGCGGAAGCCCAGAGCTGAAACCAGGACTAGAAGACTCGCCTTTGGGGTCATGGTCGTAACGACTGGAACAGCCTACCGGCATCACTGGTCACACTCAAAACAAAGCTCGATGCTCACTGAACTCACCTTTGCTATCCATACAATCCACTCAAACGACTGAAGCAGAGTCCCTGATTTGGAACTCGATAAAGTAAGAATCCTAAACTCTGAAGGCCGAGTGACCTTCTAAATTCTCGTACATCGTAAGTTGTACGGTGTTAGTTGTCAACAGAGTTAATTGTAATGTGGCCCTTCAATTGATTGCTGTTTCATGAAGATGGGCAGTGATGGATGATTGATGAGTCAGGATCAACTAACTTTATGTTTATTTTTCAGCAGCTGCAATATCACCTGTTACACAAAACCACAGCCCACAACAATGAGCTTATTTGGCAAGAAGTTGACTCCCAAAGGTAAGCGATGAAAGCGATCTTTTAATAAATTTTGTTCGAATGTTTGAATGGACGGATTAACAGAGCCCGAGCCTACGCTAAGCACAGCTTGTTGCGTAGACGACGACTGCTACCGCCGGCGCAATTCGGGGTAGGTAATGACTAATGGGTGATTTTAGGTGCCAAAGTTTGACGTGCCCATCAAAGCCGGACACGGCCTTTCCCACTCAAATGACTTCAACTGGCTGCGGCTGCTCCCACCAACCGCAGACCATCCCCGTCAGGAGTCTCATATATCGAGCGCTGGAGCGACTCGAACCCGGGCTCTCCCTACCGGGAGTCCAACGCTCCACCAACCGAGCTACGGGACAGAGCTCTGTTTTACCACACCCGACTCCTTAGTCACCCAGGCAGAATCGCATGTTTCATATTCTTCGACGATAACGGCCGTGATTTTGTTTCAGAGCAAATGCGTCAGAATGACCGCGCCCTGAGGAAGACGGAACGTGAGCTGGACAGGGACAGGCGTAAGCTCGAGCTGGAGGAGAAAAAACTGGTACGTCATCATTCGTTTGGTCACTTTTATTTGCTGTATTAATCAGGAATGCTTCACAAATACGTCCCAAACAAATGTTCCAGGAGAGCTGCTGGCAGGCATCTTTTATTATCCTGTTCTCTTAGTATGGACATCATTCGAGAGTTCAAGTGACAATTATTAATGGTTTTGTATATTAACACACTCGTCCTGACTCTTGTGTCTATATCATCAACAGGAAACTGAGATTCGTAAGAATGCCAAGGCCGGTAACAAGGAGGCGTGTGCGGTGCTGGCCAAGCAGCTGGTTCAGCTGAGAAAACAGAAGACGAGGAGCTACACAGCAGGGACCAGGGTTAGTCTTGACAGGTTACAGGGCTCAGGGCGCGTGACCGGTGTTAGAAATATAGGATTCATTGTAGATATAGGGCACTGAGTTTTCCCAGAATCAATGCAGGGAAGACAGCCGAGCGGCAAATGTTTCGTTGATTCTTGAGCCCGGCTGGGAAAGGTTGAGCAATAGATGTAGCAGCTAGTAAGTTCTTTAGGGGAGGGTGTTATGGGAGACCGCAAACTTGTAGATTCACTGATATTGCTAAAAAAGCTGAATCGTTGACGGACGCTGCGAACTTCGAGATGTGTCTTGGTCATTGGTCATGGGCCTCATGGCTGTAGAGACTAGAGCGCCACCTACCCGCCACCTACTCTTCTCCCCCTTTTCACCGTCACCCGCCCCTTCCCCAGATCCACGCCGTGTCGGCGCAGCAGAAGACGATGGGAGCCAACGCCAAGCTGGCTGGCGCCATGGCCACCACAACTCGCACCATGGGGCAGATGAACCGGGCCGTCAACCCGCAGCAGCTGGCCCAGACGATGCGCCAGTTCGAGCAGGAGAGCGCCAAAATGGGCATGTCGGAGGAGTTGGGTAAGTGTCGCAGAGAAGGGAAGTTTTTACTGGGGAGCATGGATACTGAAACAGAGAAATAAATTGATTTAGGCGACGAGCAAGTGTTGTGTTGTCTGTAGCTCACAATCGCGTCATAACGTGCTCTCCTTCGGTACCGCTTACTCTGCGATAGCAAACCGCGCTACGTCTGAAAACAGCTACCCCACACTGTCAGTTACTCTAATATCATCCCACTCTGATCTCTCCCTTTCCCATCCAGTGAACGACACCTTGGACGACCTGCTCACCGAGTCTGGTGATGAAGAAGAGAGCGACGCCGTGGTCAACAAGGTGCTCGACGAAATCGGCATCGAGATCTCCGACAAGGTGGGTCCGCGGCCCAGTCGGCCAGTCGGCAGGCATCCGCCCACGTCACACACTCCACTAACAATGTCACAGTTCCTCCGGGTGGTTGTTAATTGTTATCGTTTTGCTCTAAGATGCTTTGGTGGTGGCTTCGATACAAACTTTCTGGGTAGTAAGCGATACCAACATGGGATCACTGGTAACACTACAGGGTGTCCCGAAAGTTTTGCAACATCCGTTTTCCCATATGTTTTGTCTCTACCGCTAATATCAACGTTCCACTGGCAACCTTCCGCTTGTCCCGGGTAGACGGCGCGACAGCCCACCCGACCCAGCGGCGGTTATTGCCGCGGGGCACGGCTGACCCGTCTGGGGCGGCCGCCGTCTGACCTTAGGTCAGTCGCAGACATGAAGGTGGCCGGACGGGTAACGCGCAGAGAGGCGGTGCGCTCCCGCGCGATCGGGTTGCTGGAAGGTGGCGTGGCGCAGGGGGTTGTCGCAGAGAAGCTGGGCGTCGATCGGACCACTGTCTACCGGTGGTGGAAACGTTTTCGCGGACGGCAAACCGTTAGCCGACAAGAAACGTTCAGGCCGGCCGCGTGCCGTGTCCAACGTCGCCAGAATCGTCTGTGCCAAAGCTGCTGGCAAGCGTGGCCAAAGCGTCAGGAAATTGGCCACGCGGCTGACGCGAAAGGGTTACCCGGTGTCAAAGTCGGGTGTCCATCGGTTCATGACCCAGTCGAAGCATTTCCGGTCGTACAAAAGATCAAAACAGCCGAAAATGACAAGAAAACAGAAGCTTGCAAGATTGGAATTTTGCAAGAGGGTAAAAAATTGGGGCTTCGATGAGTTCAAGAACGTCATCTGGTCCGACGAGTCCATCTTCGAAATCCAGCACACGCCAAATCGGCAAAACGATCGAGTCTGGGCGAAATCTCGCGACGAAGTGCCCCCGGTTGAAACCATCAAGCACCCCGCGAAACTCATGGTGTGGGGCGGAATGACCGCACAGGGCCTGACTGAACTTCACGCGGTGCCAAAAAACCAGACTGTCAACACCGCATACTACGTTTCCGAGATTCTGGAGGGCTCACTTCTGCCGGCGGTCAACCGTAAGAGCAGCAATGGCGGTGTCACGGAGAAGAAAATCGTCGACCGGAGGTCAGAAGGAATTTTTATGCAAGATGGCGCACCAGCACACACCGCAAAGCGGACACAAGAATGGTGTGCGGAACACCTCCCAGGGTTTTGGGGTAAAGGGGAGTGGCCTGGCAACTCCCCCGACCTAAACCCGATAGAGAATGTGTGGGCAATCATGAAGGAGAGCCTCGACCAGCAGGAGCCCGCCACCAACCTGGGTCAGCTCGAGCGCCGGCTGAAGAAGGCCTGGAGAGACATCTCCGCGGACACACTGCGCCGCCTGGTGGCCAGCATGCCATCACGTGTCCAGAAGTGTGCCCGGCTTCGCGGTGACTATGTTGGTTGTTAAATAAAGCGGAAAGGACAACTCTGAAGTGTTTAATTTACAACGTTAAGGATGTTGCAAAACTTTCGGGACACCCTGTAGAGCGCCACCTACCCGCCACCTACTCGCCGCCCCTTTTCACCGTCACCCGCCTCTCCCCAGATCCACGCCGGAAGCCTTATTGCATTGTTAAGCACGTCGTTGTATATTTTATACATTACACAATGCCTATGCACATTGCACTGATGTTTTGCATTCATTGCACGCCCTTCCACTTGTCGCTCTAGTGATGGTATGGTATTTGCAACTTGTAACCAGTTAGTGGCTGCGCCTTGCTTTCTTCACATTGCTGAGGTATGCACAATGACCGCAACAATGACATTTATCCACGTTAGTCTACCTTCAACCGAGACTATGGCTGGTTTCTTCTTCTTGGAAGGTTGTATTGTAGTTTTGATCTTGTCGAACATAAAGCTACGGAAAAGAGCATGGTGATTAATGACAGTCATGGCGACAAAAAGAAAAGAACAGAAAAAGATACTTCTTTTATGTTTTGCTTTACCACACCTCTGTGAAGCAACGTTTTTCGTTACCGACAAATGTAACCCCGTTGGATGGGTGGCGGACGACTCTGTTGACTCGAACCGGTCTTCAGACTAGGGACGTTTGCGCCTGTCCGGCGGCGCCGTGGTGAGGTGTGGTCAGACCGATACGAACGCTCCTATGGCGGTGAGGATCAGAGGGGGCGCCGAGATGACACTGATATCACCTCACCACCGGCTTCCTCGTGTTGGAGCGTACCATTGGTCTCCGTGGGGCCGTATCGTTTCCTGTCGTGGTTATTGCGACATAAGTGTGTAACTGGCTGTAGAATGAGGTCAAAGTGTGGTGTCTGGTTGTGGGCACGGTTCCCGGTTTTTGGCTTTACTTTCTCGGGTCTTCTTAACTCACAAACTGTGGGATTAAGAAGACGTACTCTGAAAGCATTTGGCGAACATGATGCGACTCTGGTGACAACATATGACGTCAAACGATATTTTTCACCGATAAATTAATATGCTCGAAATAGCACCGTCTCGTAGCTTGGCAAGGCAGCCTCGACAATGAAGCAACAGGACATATGAATGTACGATTCTAATCCGGATAGTTGCACAAGTTGTACTTTTTTCGGTAAATGAAAATTGAAAACACATTATGGCCCGGTTCTTTCTTTACCTTGCGTGATTTCAGATTTACCCTTATTAGAACGGAGATAGATTTATTGATGCTGTGAACGCCTGGGGCTGACTGCATGCCTGGTTTTGTTGCCTGGTTTTGTGAAACATTTACTTATTTCATGGTGTTTTGTGCTGTGGCTTTTGTGCGTTCACGCACTGCGGGCTATGCACGTCCTGCTGCATGCATACAACGGTGCTGGGACGGAATCCCCTCAATGTTGCGGAGCACCGAAATGCAGGTTAGTTATCCTTGCCGCCATAGCTTTCCTTGTTTTGTTTGTTTTGGTTTGTATGTTATGTCTTGCTTTCAGTTTGATGGCCTTGGACGGGGACCAGTGATGTGGTTCAATGTGCTTTTTTTCGTTTTTTCTCGGAGTTGGTTTTCTCTTATCTAAATGACTGAAAGACGCTGTAAGCTCTCCTGTTTAATCGTTGTTTTGTCTCTCATGGTTGTCAGCTACGCGACTAGTCGTCCACTGTCACGTACTTTCTTCCTCAGATGCGTCTGGCTCCGTCTGCCGAGCGTGGTGCCATCGGCTCCAAGAGCTCTGCCGTGTCGGACAGCGACCTGGAGAGGCAGCTGGCCCAGCTGAAGACCTCCTAAGCGTCACTCACCGGTGACAGTGGATCAGACTGCCAGTCGATACCACTCAAATTGGGCCGACCGGTGAGGGAGTCCGTCTCGACCTTTGGTCGACTGACGAAGGAGTCGGCTTGTATGTCATGCGATTTTTTCTCAGAAGTAAGCGCCCTGCGCGTAGGCCTTTCCCATCGCGTCTTCTCCGCGGCGCTCGAGCACATCTCCACTTGCAGTCGCAACTGGCTGCGTCCCTGTGGAATATATGAATAACAGCATTGGTCGAACTGTGACAATCCAAGCGTTGACTGGGGTCGGCCTACAGTGGCGCCGCCGGCTCCTCGAGGAGGTTGGCGTTGGTATGCGAGCTACAGATGGCGACACGTGCGGCAGACGTTCCCAGCTGTGGTCATAGGCCTGTGCTGCGTGATCAAGTGATGACACCCACTGAATAGTGCGACTTGAACTTCGGTTGGGCTTTTTCAGCTGGCTGCTGAGATATAGGTTGTACTTAGACGTCGCTGACAGCTGATAGGGTCGGCTGTCGCACCTGCCTATATGTATGCCTGGGGTCGTCCTAGAGATACTGAGATGAGGGGTTAAATGAATGCGAATGATGACAATAACCAGGCTAATAATACCGACCACTGCAGTGATATGGTCCATGACGGCGTGGAGATGTGTCCTAGGTTAGACCGTTAGACTTTGGACTGGCTTGCCACCATCAGTTCGTAAAGAACCGTCGGTCCTGCTCCTCTCGATACCGTTTTCGACCGTTCCCACTGAGCACGTGGCTTTTTATTGTGGGCTGTGTTACACAATATTTGCACGGAGAGCGTAGTGTGTAGATCTATGATTCAGCGTGTATGAATCAGTCATTAACCACATATTGTGTTGTAATTAATTTTTGTGGTTGCACCCTTTGCGTTCACAAATTGAGGTAGAGTAGCACACGGCATATTGTATTGTCTCATGCTTGCTAGTTATATTCGTCTGATTTTGTGAATCAATGTTGCTGGTATATGAATACATATTTTTCCTCCATGCGTTTTCTTTGAGCCCGTAGAACATTGCGTCATGGTTTAAAAAAGTTTGTGGCGGGGCATCCTCTGAAACTCATGAACCGACCCAGAATGGATGATGAACAGCGCAACAAGGAGCGACAACCGGTGGTTGAAAGCTCATGATGTCAGGGGCGGATCCAGGAAAACTCCAAGGGGAGGGTCATGAATCGAAGTGGTGCCCCTACCTATACCCAAAATTAAAAACTCAACGGATTTCGTCCACTTCATTTTGGTGGTGCCCCCATTTTTAGTTTTTTTTTTATGTTTATTTTTTATTTTTAGTCAGTATCTTAACTCTTAGCCACAACCACATTTACCAATTGTAAGCAAGTATATATGAATGTGCTATGTGTATATATGTTGTGGACGCTGAGTAGTGAGTACTTACCAGGAACGTTATCAGGTAAGCAAATCGTTGTCAGTCCGACGAACTTGACCCTGGCGTCTAAAGGGTCTGTCCTTGACACTTCAGGCTTGTCAGGGGCACCAAAGTCCTTCCGGGGACACCACAAACCTGTCAGGGGCACCTACGGCCTTGTAGGGGCGCCACAGGCCCGCCAGGGGCACCACAGGCCTGCCAGGAAGCGGGGGCACCACAGGTCTAGCAAGTATACACGACAGGCCTGTCAGGGGCACAACGGGCCTGTTGGGCCCATGAGCACCCCTAGGGGCAGGGGCACCACAGTCCTTCCAGGGGCACCGCAGGCCTGTGAGGGGCACCAGCGGCCTAGCAGGGGCACCAGTCAACACAGGCCTGCCAGGGGCACCACAGACCTGCCAGGGGCACCAGAGGCCTGCCAGGAGCACCACCGACCTCGCAGGGGTAACTTGGGCATGTCAGGGCCCAGGGACACCACGGGCCTGTCGAGAGGCACTTCAGGGTTTTCAGGGGCACCATAGTCCTCTCCGGGCGCAGGGGTAGCAGGGGCACCAGAGGCCTGCCAGGGGCACTACAGGCCTAGCAAGGGCACCACTGGTCTATCAGGGGCACCACGAGCCTGTCATAGCCAGGCATCTCAGGCTTGTCAAGGCCCAGGGGCACCACAGGTCTGTGAGGGGCACCAGCGACCTAGCAGGGGCACCAGTCAACACAGGTCTGCCAGGGGCGCCACAGACCTGCCAGGGGCACCACAGACCTGCCAGGGGCACCAGAGGTCTGCCAGGGGCACCACCGGCCTCGCAGGGGCACCTTGGGCCTGTCAGGGGCACCACCGGCCTGCCGAGGGGCACTTCAGACTTTTCAGGGGCACCAGTCCTCTCCGGGCGCAGGGGTACCAGCGGCCTAGCAAGGGTACCAGAGGCCTGCCAGGGGCACCAGCGGCCTAGCAAGGGCACCAGAGGCCTGCCAGGGGCACCACAGGCCTAACAAGGGCACCACGTGCCTGTCAGGGGCACCTCAGGCTTGTCAGGGCCCAGGGACACCACAGTCCTTCCAAGGGCACCGCAAGCCTGTCAGGGGCACCAGAGGCCTGCCAGGGGCACCACAGGCCTAGCAAGGGCACCACTGGCCTGTCAGGGGCACCTCAGGCTTGTCAGGGCCCAGGGGCACCACAGTCCTTCCAGGGGCATTACAAGCCTGTCAGGGGCACCAGAGGCCTAGCAAGGGCACCACAGGCCTGCCATGGACACCACAGGCCTGCCAGGGGCACCACCGGCCTTGCAGGGGCGCCTCAGGCCTGTCAGGGGCACCACGTGCCTGCCGGGGACACTTCAGGCTTGTCAGGGGCGTTACAGTCCTGTCAGGGCCCAGGGGCACCAGGCCGGTGTGGTGTCCCTGCTAGGCCTGTGGTGCCCCTGGCGGTCCTGTGGTGCCCCTGTCAGGACTGTGATACCCCTGATAGGCCGGTGGTGCCCCTGGCAGGTCGTTGGGCCCCCGGGCCTCAAGGGGGGGGGCATGACCCATGTGACCCCCCCCCCTTGGATCCGCCACTGCATGATGTGTCAAGTTTTGGCTTATTTTCCGCTAATTTGAATCGATACGAGCTACTCAAGCACCTACCAAACTTTCACGCAATATGAAGTGCATCGCGCTCGCGAAGCAAACACATCGGTATTCATCTCGAACTGGTCAGCTCGCTTTCCTAATTTTCAATTGATTAAAAAAATATATCAACGTTTAATTGATTTTGCATGCCTATTGCCTAGCCTATCAACAAAGTTGCCAACATATTACAGAAGGTAAATGACGTCTAACCAAATTTAATTTTGCGTGCGTTATCTTGTGGATGTCTGGTGAGGAAGAACACTGGACCTCATGCATCACTTCAGTAGATACACGCATCACGTGGGCCCATCGTCATCTCCTAAAATATCGCTGTAGCGTGTTTCGACCATTCTTTTTCGTCCCGCTCCCGTCGACAATTGTTCCTACATTAGCATTTCTCGGTCGTTAGCGATAACATAGCCTCACGTCTGGCGCCTGTCCCCAATTATCACGACACCCGTCCGTGCCCCAGAACAAACGTTCGCACCCGGGCGCGGCCTACCTCCTCTTCACGGCCCTGATTCACCGGGAAATGGCTCTTCACTCACCACAGACGGGCACAAAAACCCACCCGCCGCCGAGACAATGTCATTCCATTGGCGTGCGCGGAAAGGACTCTTGCCCTCTTCAGCGCTAACGGCTCGCGTGACAATTTATTTAACGCCGGACCGCGCGACAATTTATCCGAGTTTGTGGGCGGGAATAGGCGAGGAACCGACGCCAGTCGCGGTGGCAGCGGCGCGCGGGCGGCGGCGGACCACCGGCGGTCTCCCTGACCGCCCAGACCGCTCGGACCACCCGGACCAAGGAGACCGCCCAGACCAGAGGTCAGGGTAGCGTCCAGACCACCGCGCCACCGGCCGTCAGCGTCTCCGCCGCCCACGTACGGTCGTGTATTAGGGAGAGACGTAGGAGAGACGTTGAATCGCCTCCACCCATAATTTTGTCCCACACACGTAACCCGGCCAGGGTCCCGTTTTTCTTATCGTTGATCTGGAAGCGTTTCCTAGAAAGGGTGATTTCAATTAGGAAAGTGTTGCAGATATTTTCTCGCTACATTGGACGTCAGTGCCACACAAATTTACCTTTGTAAGGACACTGTGCTGCTAAAAAAGTTTGAATCGAGTACCAATCTACCGCGGGTTTTGTACTGACCAATGCCTATCTTCATGATCATTGGCGTGCACTGTTATTTGCAAGCTTCAAATACACCGAACTTTGGGGGTGGGACTCTTTCAGGGACACTTTTTACCTTGTGTTGCGTTATGCATGCGCGATGTCGTTCCTACTTAAAGCCGAACAAATTTCATTGGCCAGATATGACGTGTTCCATCACACAAAGTCGAACCGTCAAGGCCGGTTCATGTCAGACAGTGACGCATAGAATGGCGATACGTTTCGCCATATTCGTCCAGCGTCGCGTCGATTCTCCTTGAGCCGTCATCGCTCGCAGACCCCTGTCGCCCGCTCGGCGCAGGGCGACCTGTCGACTCCGGCGCCGTCGGGCCGATCAAAAGGTAGGCGTGGGTGGCCGCCGGCGCACCACGCCGCCTCTCTATTGATCTGTCGGTCAACCGATCTAATCCAGCACCGCCACGCTAATCACTACCCCCTAACGACCGTCAAATCGCCGCACTGGCTGCAGTACTTACTGGAACACTAGAGAGCGGGCCGGCGCCGCGGGCGGGTGAGAAGTGCGGCTCGTTTGCCACCGCTCGCCGGCGACGGCCCCGGGCGGCGGCGGCCGTGGGTGTTCCTGTGGTATCATACGGAGACACAAATCATCGGTAATCTGCAGAGAGCCTTTGTTGGCGGCCGCCGGGGCGTTTGTCGGTGCCTCAGGCTGGCGCCCTGTGAGATGTACCGCACCTCACACGCAGATAATATTAGTACCCACTTGCCGGCGTGTGTTGAAACGACGCCGCGGTGCACGGTTCAACGTTGGCGGTCGTGCATGGGCGTCGCTTGGTGCAGAGGATGGGTGAGACCTATTCAGAGCCTTTTGTTAAATGTGTTAATTAATCCTCACGGCGATATTGGTTTCACCTTTGTTTAGCGGTGGAAGTGTTACACGCATTCACAACGAGATGTGTACCCACCTATTTTCGACATTGTAAAATGCCTGTCATAGTGCGTCGAGGTTGAGCTACAGCCCCGCTTCATGCAGCTGTTCTCAGGGCACTTAGCGTCGTTAATCCATCATCCTGGATATTTAAACCCTACAGTAGCATAAACGGGAACTAATCAAGCATGCACCCTCCGCTTTCTGATACTCGTAAAAGTACCTCTGGAAGATAATCCACCATGAGGGCTGAGGCTGTTACTTATCCCTAACTGATGCCCTGCTGTACCAACGAGGGTCCCGTCCCCTGACCGCCCCCCCCCCCCACACACACACACACTGGCGCGCGCGTCGACATTACCGTCAGTAGGCTCGGCGGCGCCTGTGGGACCCTCAGCGGCGCCGGGCCGCGCGTCGGCCCGCTTTGTTGGCCACCTCACCCGCTGTGCGACCGCATTCTTTGGAACCGACGGTGGGGAGCGCTGCCGTCCGCTCAAGAGGCAGCGGGAGTGATCAAAGAGGCTCGCCTGCCCGGCGCCCGGATGGCCGCCCGATCGGCAGGGCAGTGACTGGTCTGTCTGTGGGACTGTGTGTGCTAAATTGGGGAAAGTTGGATGAATAAGACAGGTGGCAAATGGCCACAGAAGTTTTGGCGGACGGCGCGGCTCTTGGCGCCGGCAAACGGTGCGCTGAATGTACCATGCGTCGAACGGCGCCTTGAGAAGTGCCTGTAATGTGTTATGCGATGAATCGCGCTATATCGGCCAGTTTAAAGTCAGTTTAAACTGTCATTATTACAGTTAAAAAGAGTGAATCGTTGGTGAATCGCGGTTGGTCACTGGCTGAATCACGACAGCGCGTTGAATCACGGGGACGCGCGGACCAGCCCTTGTTCCGGGATCGTTCGTCCCTACATCTGTGGTCTGGAGTTCGT